CACTGAGACACCGAGGCAGGAGAACACTTAGACACTGAGACACTCGGACACTTAGACACTGACACTGAGGCAGTAGGACATTTAGACACAGACACTGAGGCAGTCGGACACTTAGACACTGAGGCAGTAGGACATTAGACATAGACACTGAGGCAGTAGGACACTTAGACACTGAGACACCGAGGCAGGAGAACACTTAGACACCGAGACACCGAGGCAGGAGAACACTTAGACACTGAGACACCGAGGCAGGAGAACACTTAGATACTGAGACACCGAGGCAGGAGAACACTTAGACACTGAGACACCGAGGCAGGAGAACACTTAGACACTGAGACACCGAGGCAGGAGAACACTTAGACACCGAGACACTGAGGCAGGAAAACACTTAGACACTGAGACACCGAGGCAGGAGAACACTTAGACACTGAGACACCGAGGCAGGAGAACACTTAGACACTAAGACACCTAGGCAGGAGAACACTTAGACACTGAGACACCGAGGCAGGAGAACACTTAGACACTGAGACACCAAGGCAGGAGAACACTTAGACACCGATACACTGAGGCAGGAGAACACTTAGACACTGAGGCAGGAGAACACTTAGACACTGAGACAGCGAGGCAGGAGAACATTTAGACACTGAGACACCGAGGCAGGAGAACACTTAGACACTGAGACACCGAGGCGGGAGAACACTTAGACACTGAGACACCAAGGCAGGCGAACACTTAGACACTGAGACACTGAGACACCAAGGCAGGAGAACACTTAGACACCGATACACTGAGGCAGGAGAACACTTAGACACTGAGGCAGGAGAACACTTAGACACTGAGACAGCGAGGCAGGAGAACACTTAGACACTGAGACACCGAGGCAGGAGAACACTTAGACACTGAGACACCGAGGCAGGAGAACACTTAGACACCGAGGCACCGAGGCAGGAGAACACTTAGACACCGAGACACCGAGGCAGGAGAACACTTAGACACTGAGACACCAAGGCAGGAGAACACTTAGATACTGAGACACCGAGGCAGGAGAACACTTAGACACTGAGACACCGAGGCAGGAGAACACTTAGACACTGAGACACCGAGGCAGGAGAACACTTAGACACCGAGACACTGAGGCAGGAGAACACTTAGACACTGAGACACCGAGGCAGGAGAACACTTAGACACTGAGACACCGAGGCAGGAGAACACTTAGACACTGAGACACCTAGGCAGGAGAACACTTAGACACTGAGACACCGAGGCAGGAGAACACTTAGACACTTAGACACTGAGACACCAAGGCAGGAGAACACTTAGACACCGATACACTGAGGCAGGAGAACACTTAGACACTGAGGCAGGAGAACACTTAGACACTGAGACAGCGAGGCAGGAGAACATTTAGACACTGAGACACCGAGGCAGGAGAACACTTAGACACTGGGACACCGAGGCGGGAGAACACTTAGACACTGAGACACCGAGGCAGGAGAACACTTAGACACTGAGACACCAAGGCAGGCGAACACTTAGACACTGAGACACCGAGGCAGGAGAACACTTAGACACTGAGACCCCGAGGCAGGAGAAAACTTAGACACTGAGACACCGAGGCAGGAGAACACTTAGACACTGAGACACCGAGGCAGGAGAACACTTAGACACTGAGACACCGAGGCAGGAGAACACTTAGACACTGAGACACCGAGGCAGGAGAACACTTAGACACTGAGACACCAAGGCAGGAGAACACTTAGACGCTGAGACACTGAGGCAGGAGAACACTTAGACACTGAGACACCGAAGCAGGAGAACACTTAGACACTGAAACACCGAGGCAGGAGAACACTTAGACACTGAGACACCGAGACACCGAGGCAGGAGAACACTTAGACACTGAGACACTGAGGCAGGAGAACACTTAGACACCGAGACACCGAGGCAGGAGAACACTTAGACACTGAGACACTCGGACACTTAGACACTGACACTGAGGCAGTAGGACATTTAGACACAGACACTGAGGCAGTCGGACACTTAGACACTGAGGCAGTAGGACATTTAGACATAGACACTGAGGCAGTAGGACACTTAGACACTGAGACACTGAGGCAGTAGGACATTTGGACACAGACACTGAGGCAGTCGGACACTTAGACAGAGACACTGAGGCAGTCGGACACTTAGACACTGAGGCAGTAGGACATTTAGACATAGACACTGAGGCAGTAGGACACTTAGACACTGAGACACTGAGGCAGTCGGACACTGAGACACTGAGGCAGTCGGACATTTAGACACTGAGGCAGTCGGACACTTAGACACTGAGGCAGTAGGACATTTAGACACAGACACTGAGGCAATCGGACACTTAGACACTGAGGCAGTAGGACATTTAGACACAGACACTGAGGCAGTCGGACACTTAGACACTGAGACACTGAGGCAGTAGGACACTTAGACACAGACACTGAGGCAGTAGGACATTTAGACACTGACACTGAGGCAGTCGGACATTTAGACACAGACACTGAGGCAGTAGGACATTTAGACACAGACACTGAGGCAGTCGGACATTTAGACACAGACACTGAGGCAGTAGGACATTTAGACACAGACACTGAGGCAGTCGGACATTTAGACACAGACACTGAGGCAGTCGGACATTTAGACACAGACACTGAGGCAGTCGGACATTTAGACACTGAGGCACTGAGGCAGTAGGACATTTAGACACTGAGACACTGAGGCAGTAGGACATTTAGACACAGACACTGAGGCAGTCGGACACTTAGACACTGAGGCAGTAGGACATTTAGACACTGAGGCAGTAGGACATTTAGACACAGACACTGAGGCAGTCGGACACTTAGACACTGAGACACTGAGGCAGTAGGACATTTAGACACAGACACTGAGGCAGTCGGACACTTAGACACTGAGGCAGTAGGACATTTAGACACAGACACTGAGGCAGTCAGACACTGAGACACAGAGGCGGTAGGACATTTAGACATAGACACTGAGGCAGTCGGACACTTAGACACTGAGACACTGAGGCAGTAGGACATTTAGACACAGACACTGAGGCAGTCGGACACTTAGACACAGACACTGAGGCAGTCGGACATTTAGACACAGACACTGAGGCAGTAGGACATTTAGACACAGAAACTGAGGCAGTCGGACACTTAGACACAGACACTGAGGCAGTAGGACATTTAGACACAGACACTGAGGCAGTAGGACATTTAGACACAGACACTGAGGCAGTCGGACACTTAGACACAGACACTGAGGCAGTAGGACATTTAGACACAGACACTGAGGCAGTCGGACATTTAGACACAGACACTGAGGCAGTCGGACATTTAGACACAGACACTGAGGCAGTCGGACATTTAGACACTGAGACACTGAGGCAGTAGGACATTTAGACACAGACACTGAGGCAGTCGGACACTTAGACACTGAGACACTGAGGCAGTAGGACATTTAGACACAGACACTGAGGCAGTCGGACACTTAGACACTGAGGCAATAGGACATTTAGACACAGACACTGAGGCAGTAGGACATTTAGACACAGACACTGAGGCAGTCGGACACTTAGACACTGAGACACTGAGGCAGTAGGACATTTAGACACAGACACTGAGGCAGTCGGACACTTAGACACTGAGGCAGTAGGACATTTAGACACAGACACTGAGGCAGTCAGACACTGAGACACAGAGGCGGTAGGACATTTAGACATAGACACTGAGGCAGTCGGACACTTAGACACTGAGACACTGAGGCAGTCGGACATTTAGACACAGACACTGAGGCAGTCGGACATTTAGACAGACACTGAGGCAGTCGGACATTTAGACACTGAGACACTGAGGCAGTAGGACATTTAGACACAGAAACTGAGGCAGTCGGACACTTAGACACAGACACTGAGGCAGTAGGACATTTAGACACAGACACTGAGGCAGTAGGACATTTAGACACAGACACTGAGGCAGTCGGACACTTAGACACTGAGGCAGTAGGACATTTAGACACAGACACTGAGGCAGTTAGACACTTAGACAGTGAGACACTGAGGCAGTAGGACATTTAGACGTAGACACTGAGGCAGTCGGACACTTAGACACTGAGACACTGAGGCAGTAGGACATTTAGACACAGACACTGAGGCAGTCGGACAATTAGACACTGAGACGCTGAGGCAGTAAGACATTTAGACACAGACACTGAGGCAGTCGGGCACTTAGACACTGAGACACTAGGACATTTAGATGTAGACACTGAGGCAGTCGGACACTTAGACACTGAGACACTGAGGCAGTAGGACATTTAGACACTGAGGCAGTCGGACACTTAGACACTGAGACAGTAGGACATTTAGACACAGACACTGAGGCAGTCGGGCACTTAGACACTGAGACACTGAGGCAGTAGGACATTTAGACACAGACACTGAGGCAGAAGGACACTTAGACACTGAGTCTGTAGGACATTTAGACACAGACACTGAGGCAGTCGGGCACTTAGACACTGAGACACTGAGGCAGTAGGACATTTAGACACTGAGAAACTGAGGCAGTCGGACACTGAGGCAGTCGGACACTTAGACACTGAGACACTGAGGCAGTCGGACACTTAGACACTGAGACACTGAGGCAGAAGGACACTTAGACATAGACACTGAGGCAGTAGAACACTTAAGACACTGAGGCAATAGGACACTTAGACACTGAGACAGTAGGACACTTAGACACTGAGGCAGTAGGACACTTAGACACTGAGAAAGTAGGACACTGAGGACACTGGGACATTGGCACAGTGGGACACTGGGACACCGCTACACGATTACACTAGGACACTGGAACACTGGGACAGTGAGAGACTGCGACACGGGGAAACTGATGCAAGTCCCAACCCCCTCGTGATGCCTCTTGTGTCGGGGCGTGGTACGCCATCTCCCTCCCCTGTGCTGCGCACAGGGAGGGCATCGTTGACCCGAGGATGACGGAGAGGAGGAGATTGTTTGAAGTCTTCCAGAACAAGCCTCCATCCAAGGTGAGTTGTGCATTCATTGTGGAAATATACTGCAGCAATTTTCATACTTTTGTACTCATATACTTAATATATTTACATATTTATTTCGGTGATATGCTTAGCTTTCCTATATACTGTGCTTTAATAATACAGGATTTTTTGGGGGGGTTAGAGCACGTAAATATAAATGTCGTTAACCCGCCACCACCCGATAGCCAATTAGTAAGTTTGTCACGTAAACAGAACGTGCCAATTCATTACTAGTACAGCACACCGGTGTGTTGGAGAGCAAATCGGCAACATTTACAATCTGAGTACGACCGTTTCGCCAGTAATTACAACCGGCATCATCAGGCGGCAGCCAGATTTGTGGATTAATCCTGTTTTGTTCATTAATAGAGGGATAGATGAGGTGACGTGAATTGTGAGCCCTTCTTGTGTGACGTGGGCGGGGATTAATGAATGTATAAAAAATTACAATGGATACACAGCACGAGACTAAAAGAACACCAAAGGAATATGAAAAAACGACACATTTATATTTACGCGATGTAACCCAACAAACCTGTTATGGATGATATTGATTGCGAAAGCCTACGTGTTAAACACATTGTACTTGGATCGTTTTTTTGTATTTTGTTGTAACTTTCTGACTTGCCCATAATTGGACGTCTGTGAAAAAAAAGCTTCATAGCTCATCGGATAAATATAGATTCTGATTCTGAACTCGCCCTGCAGTGAGGTTGGTGGTGAGGTAGTCCTAGTTGATGATATAGTAATGTCACAGACAGAGCCAAGGCTGTATTATCCAAAAGGCCACATTCGGCACTGGGCCTATGGCCTACGAAAACTAGAAGGGCCTTTGAAAAAAATATGACCATGGTTTTTGCTTCTAGTCTATGATGAAAAAAAATGGAACCAAGATATCTTCTTGAATAAATGTATTTATATAACAAGGATAGGCACAGTGTTTATACAAAGAGGCAGAGTCATGTTGATCGGTTTTTTCATAAGGTGAGAGAAATCAACACTGGAAATTAACTTTTCGAGATTTTTTCATAGCACAATAAGCAAATAGTGTTTTTCGCACAATCTCATTCTCAATAGAGAGTAGTGCAAGGGAAGACAGGGCGGCATTATTGTTGTCCTATTGATTGGAGACAGTTTTTTTTATATATATCAGCTTTAGCTTCGAAAAAAACGCCACCTTTCACAATTCGTTCCCAAGGTGGCAAGATGCATCCTTAGAGCAATGCAAACATTCGGAAAGCTGCTGATCAGCTTGTCAGATATTTGGGATTTGAACATATCTGCCATTGTTTTCTGCTCTGCATACAAATGCAGGAACAACAGGAAGTCATCAGTGAATGATTTTTCAAGATCTGCTGGATAAGCTTAAACGAAATTAAAGCAACGCGGCGCTCGCCACGCTGTTGTCCTGTCAGAACATTGAGAGTTTGTTATCGGTGACAGTGAAAGGCATCCTTTTAAATCTGCATCATTCGATATGATAATCTTGGTCAAAAATTGTTGAAGACATTTTCACTGATAATATTTTTAGGCTTACCTTGTTTTTTTTCTTCTCAATTTCTAATTGAATCTGCTTATCTCCGGCATATGGCGTGCTCCCATCGAATTAGGGCACAGACAAAATAATTAATGTAGGAGCAATAACGATGTCTGTCCAGTGGGTGGATGTAGTACCGCGTGAAACAAGCAGAGTGACAGCGGTGGTGGTAGTGAGATGGGCAGCAGCACCAACTATAGGAAGTTATCATTGAAGGCCTACGAAACAGAAGTGCCAGGGCCTACAAGAACCTTCATCCGGCCCTGGACAGAGCGATTGTGTGTTTGTGCTCTGGCCACTTGCAGACCTGGGGCCCCGGAGTGTGAGTTGGTTCCATGATCTAAGCGCGGCTTCCGCGGTGCAAGGGGAGGAGGAAGAGCAGGAGCAGAGCTCGCTAGGTGAGGATGCAGCCGGCTGCACGCTGCCACCACAGGGACATGCACAGCAACGTTAGCAGCAGCAATTAACGATCACCTTTACCATTGATATGACAGGCTGGCACTCGGAGTGCCCTGGGTTTGATTCCCCAACTTGGGGCGCTTTTCTGCATTCAGTTTTTATGTTTTCTCTCTCCTGTTTTTTCCCGGGTTTCTCCGGTATCCTCCCAATGTAACAGCTATTGACCAGAAATCCCAATACTAAATAAGTTAATAAAAATCTGCTAGTTACTCATTTGGTATAACACACAGCAGCAACATCGCTGCCGACTGTGAGAACTGGGCAAGACCCTCCTGAAAAAGAGTCCTGAGACTCCGTGAAGCTTTCCTGGGTAAACAAACAGAATAATAATAATGGTAATACAATTCATGGTGATAGCAGTGGTGACTTACAATGTTGTTTTCGTTACTAAAACGTTATAGGCCATATAGTTATATAAGATGCAGTAATTAATGCATGGCGTTTCTTGCCATATGAAATGGACCTCCTGGCGGAATAAGGAGTTCTACTTGGCAGTTGTCCCCTTGTACTCGGGCAATGGGACAGACTGAAAAATTAAATACCTCTAGCATATTAATATTTCGGTTTCCCCATGTAACCCTATGGGCATTCATTTATAAATGTCCACCTATGGACATTCCGTTTTTCAGTGTTAGCCAATAGACATTCTGTTTTCCCCATGTCACCCTCTTGGCATTACTTTCTGAATATTAACGTGAACAATCATCCAGCAAATGCCCCCCTTGACGTTTCCTTCTGTAGAAGCCCAATGCACTATGACCCCACTCCCAAGATATCTCAGGGCTATCATAGATAGAAGCCTGACCTCAAGCACCACGTAAAACATCTCTGAAAATACCAAATTAAGAATCATCCTGCTACAAGAATGTTGAGGAACAACCTGGGGCACCTCAGCTGATGCGCTGCGAACCGCCGCCCTCTCACTGATCAACTCAGTGGCAGAGTCACAGTGGCCCAGCCTGGTCCGGGAGCTCCTACACAAAACTGCCAGATGCACAATTAAATGATGCAATGCGCATCATAACTGGAATACTGAAACTGACACCAATACTCTGGCTCTCTGTTCTGGTGAAAATTCTGCCACCAAATATCCACACAGACACTGCAAGGGAGTTTATATATGTTTCTAGCCAATGACAAACTAACCATCAACCAAGATATCAACGATGTACCTTGCTGCCGACTCAAATCCCGATCCCACTTTCTGGGCCCGCGCTGTGACCATCTTAGAATCTCATCCAGATCCAGAAGAATGCTGGCGAACAGAGTGGAACAAAATGGACACCCAGAATAAACACCTTAATTGAGACCCAGGCATCACACCTTCAGGGTTTGACATTCCTCAAAGACATTGGTGTAACATCAGTTGCATCAGTACATCAACAGGCCAATGCACACAGCTCCTTCATGAAAGGAAAATTAAAGACAAGTCTCAGTAGCACGATAGTGGCCAAACTATGCACCATACAGCAAACCACTGTAGTCTGCACTTTTTCAATGAGGTAGCAATACTACTGGAACATTCCCCTAAAGCGCTGTCGTGGCTAGCAGACGTCGACATTGGCATTTAGCTCTTGAACATAATGCCAATCATATGCAAGAATAAAATAGAAACCTGTAAGCATTGCGTTTTCCACATTTTAGTCTTTGGGCATCCTTTTCTCTGTCAATCAATTGTGTCTACCACTGGTAATTGCATATATTAGGGCGAGTAGTGCCCAGATAATTTATCTCACTTGTTGAGCTTTGTGCATTTGATCAAAGTTGGGTTTCCCTTGTCTCCCTCCCCTAGAGCGAATGTACTTTGTCTGCAGGATGGTTCCAGTCGCAGCTGCTGTGGGTGATGATGTTTTAGTGCCCATCCATGCCGACGTCTCTGCTATTTCTGATATGTGCGTAGCTCAGATTAATAGGATGGCTGAGCCGCACACAATGGCAAGAAGCACAGATTGGTCCAATCCTACTGATGAAAGGAGTCGTGGATAAGAGCCACACATAGGTGGGGTTTCACTGTTGTGTTCCATTGGTTATTAAAATGCTCATCACAGTGCCTGTCTTTCCTTGTTTCAGGTGCTATTCTAACTCCTGTTGACGATGAACACCCACATCGCAAAAAGGTAACTGTTCAAAATCTGCAGGAGTATTTCAGGTGCGAAATGTATCCTAGTGGAGCACTGTAGCTGGCTCGGTAGCTCAGAGAGCAAGGCGCGGTGTGTGGATAAGGGAGGTACAGTGTGTGGATATTAAAATAAAATGTAAAAAAATGTACCAGGTAAGGCCCGCTGAGATATTTAGCTCTTTTTCGGAAGTGACCTGGCCACAAACGATAGCCCAATTAAGTAGCTTATCACATGGAAATTTACAGCAGCCAAAAACTCTTAACCCATGTTTCTAAGTGTGGAGGGAAAAAGTGGAGGACCTGGAGAATATCCACATGACTACAGGGAGAGAGACATACAAACTCCAGATATACAGGAATCAGGATCGAACCCATGACCTCCTGTATACCAGGCAAGGTAGTTAACATATCACCAACGCGGCACCCACGGTGAGGTGTGGAGAGGGGAGGTGGGGTCTGTGTGAATGGGTGCTCTGAACATGGAGACAAAATGACATTGATTGTAAATATACAATAAAACCTCATTATTTCGATATTTGATCATTCGTAATTGGGGATAATTCAGCACGGCTGTGCTTTCGGCATATCCAGTATTAGTAATTCGCCACGAGCCGAATTGCTGTACGAAATGTTCCAATTTCGATATACACGTGGAGCGGACACCACGCGCCAACACAACACAGTTGCGTAGTAGAACCACGTGGAGGCGGAGTTTTCTATAAGGGCGATTGATGTTATTAACACTATCACGTTCAGCACTCAAGCTCACACCAGGGTAGGTGCTCTCTATTATTGGTCCTTACCCTGGACCCCCAAACTCTATGTTGTCCTACCCTTGGCTATCCCTTGGGCTTTCTCACTCAGGCCTTATCCAACACCGCCCGGCAACGAGGAGAGAAGAACCCACTCTCTCTCAGCCGATCCTTACTGAATACTTAGAACCCCGCTCTCGGCTATCCCCTTTGGCTCTCCCACTCGTCTGCCCCGGATGGGGGTTCAGCCAACACCGTCTGGCGACGAGCGGGAGAGACCTCCAGCAGCCGATCCTTGCTCCGCGCTCCCACAACGACCCCGCCTTTGTCACGGGGTCCCCCTTAAGTACCCCTTTGGCGGCACCTCCCCATAACTCGGACCCGCCTTTGTTCCCGAAGGTACCCCCTTACAGCACCCGTGACATGACGTCATCCTTCGCTGTCAACTCGCTCGCACCTCTCTCTGTACGCCCTCTCATGGTTGCTCACACTACTCTACACAATGACTGAGTCTAGTGGCGGCGCACATGGTTAGCGTTAGTGCAGACTTGTTGCTTTGGACTTTACCCTGTTTATGCACTTTGTGCAAGCCAACCCCCTGAAATGTCATCTACACCTATATCAAGAAGTAACAGAAAGGGACTGAAGTATAAATCCCTTAGTCTGCGAGACATCCAAAGTTTTGGATATAATTGTTGCATGGTGTGTGTCAATGCTTGTGGTGTGGCAAAAACAACCCCCTACCTCCTCGTTGGTGCCAGACAGCAACACTGTTGTGGACAGTGCCTTGGGGGGAGGGCCAATTTAGATTGGCCATTCCCTTCATGGCGTTTGTAACCACCACAGTGGCCAAATGGGGGCTCTGGATGGGTGCGAGGGGCTGGTAACCCCTCCACCTTCAATTAATTACCACTAAACCACGACTGAACAATGTAATGAATAAACTTGTGCCGGAGGCCCCGGGGGGACAGGTCTTTATGACGTCTCCTGGCCAAACCCTATTTGGTGGAGCCAGGAGACTGAATTCATACCCTCCAGAAACAACAAAAGACCATTATGGGTGGCCACGTGGAATGTTCGAACGCTCACTGTGGAGGAGAGGCTGCCACTCCTCTGTCGGGAGCAGGACCAGTACCGCCTGGATCTCTGTGGTATTCAAGAGGTCCGTTGGACCGGCTCTGGCTTCCTGCCACCATGAGGGGTGGATAGTCCTCTACTCGGGGCAGGAGACTGCCAAACAATAGGGAGTGGCTCTTCTGAACAAAAGAATGAAGGGGGCATGGGAGCGTGGCGGTGAGGTGTTGGAAGCTGTAAGCCCCAGGCTACTTTGGGCTTGCCTTCCCATCAACCAGAGGCGAGGTGTGGTGGTCGTGGTTACTTATGCCCCCAACGAAGACGAACACGAACATCCGTGGAGGGATGCAGGCAAGGCCGATGAGTCAGATGCCTTCTATGACCTCCTGTCACAGGTGCGAGCTCAAGTGGCCCCTCGGGATAGAGTCATCTTGTTGGGTGACTTCAATGCCCGAGTTGGTCATGGTGCTGGCACCTGGTCTGGAGTAATTGGAAGGCATGGGCCAGATCAGCTCAATAACAACGGCAGGAGGCTGCTCGATTTTGGTGCAGCCCATGGGCTTGTAATTACCAACATGCTGTTCCGCCATTGGCGCATCCACACAACAGCATGGATGGATGCCAGGTCTAAGCAAGAACATCTGCTGGACTACAGTGACGGAACAGCGGATGCGGGCCCATGTCCTTGACACCAGGACCTATCGTGGAGCTGATCTGCCCACTGACCATCGACTTGTTATCTGTAAAAGATGCACCTGCCATTCTTCCACTCCGGTGGTGGGTGTACACCCAGGACCCCATTCAAATCCATAGTAGCATGGTCTCACCTAGCTAATGATTAGTTTGCAAGCGAGAATTTCAACATCACTTACGACTGGGGTTGGCATTGTCCCCCACTCCTCCTGATGTCGAGGGGAAATGGACGAGGTTTAGGACTGTGGCTCATGCAACTGCAATGGCAGCTTTGGGGACACGGTCCAGACCTCCTCAGAGACCCTGGCAGACAGAGAAGGTGTTCAGGCTGGCTGAGAAAAAACGACAGGCCCACTCTCATCGTATACAGCATTCTACATCAGAGAATGAGGAGGCTGACCACAGCCTTTTGCTCGGAGGTTCGGAGAGCCATGAGGCGCTGCAAGGATGGTGGTGGTCGCTGGTTGCTGAGGAGATGGAGTCTGCCTCAATCACCAAATCGCTCTTTAATTCCATCAAGAAAGTAACCTGCAGCGCCACACCTATTGCCATCATTAGGACAAAGAACGGTGATCCAATCTCCTACCCCCAGGAACAGGTTTTCAGATTTGCTGAGCATTTCTGTGAGATTCTGGGGGAGGGAAAATCCCTCTGCCTGGAAAACATCGTGGGACAAAGTGGGGATGACCCTGCTGAGGCTGCAGTGCCTTAAATATTGAAAGAAGTCACCCCCTGTGAGTGGCTGGCTGAGGTGCCATCTGTTGAGTAAGTACTGAAGGCGATCAGAGCCTGAGACCAAGAAAGGCACTGGACAGAGAGATGATTTCCCAAGCGAAATGCTTAGCGAGGGTAGCGTTTGTGCACAGACTGCCCTACATGACATCATAACAACAGTCTGGACCACTGGACGGGTTCCGCAGGATTGGAAGGATGCCCTGGTGGTCCCCCTCTTTAAGAAGGGGACCATACAGACTGTAACAACTACAGGGGCATCTCACTCCACAGTGTGCCAGGAAAGGTCCTGGCAAGGATTATTCAACATCGCCTTGCCAGGCATACTGAGGAGAGAGACTTGCGGAGCCCCATTGCGGTTTCAGGAAAGGGCGGTCCTGCACAGATGCCATATTTTCTGTCCGTCTGCTACAGCAGAGGTGTCGGGAATTCCAACAAGACCTACATTCATAATAAAGACCTACATCTCTACTTTATTGACCTGGTCAAGGCCTATGATACCATCAGTAGGCCTGGGCTCTGGGTTGTTCTTCGTGCTTTCGGAGTCCCTGACCTTCTGCTCACGCTCATTAAGGACCTTCATGATGGTGAGCAGGCCCGGGTAAAACTACGTGGCCAGGAGTCAGAGCCATTCCCCGTTCACCTTGGAGTGTGACAGGGATGTCCTCTGGCTCCCACATTAATTCACATTCATTTCGCCCACGTAGTTCGTGAAGCCTTCGATGGCTGTACCGGGGGAATTTCCATCTGGTACAGATACAATGGGAGGCTGATCGATGCCCGGATGCGGTCAAGGGATGGCTCTCTATTGGTCAACCACGTTATTTATGCCGATGATCTGGTAATTGCTGCTCACTCAGAGGAGGAGTTGGAGGCGCTGCTGCTGAACCTGGAGCTTTCCACTAAGAGGTGGGGCCTTACCATCAGCCCCACCAAAACTAAGCACCTGCTTGGGTATTTTGTACCATCGGACACCCCACCCCCACAACTCCCAATTGGTGATGGGGCAGTTGTGGAGAGAGTGGAGAGTTTCCCATACCTGGGCAGTGTGCTCATGACCAGCTCCGGTTTGACAGCAGTGATCTCACTCCGAATCAGTCGAGTGGCATTATCTTTTCATCGGTTGCGTAACGCTGTGTGGAAGCTACCTGGTCTGTCGCTCCGCACGAAGCTTCGGGTCTTCTCAGCCACGGTCATTCCCTCCCTTCTCTACGCTTGCGAAATGTGGACCCCCTAATGGAACATCTTTGCCGGTTAGAAACATTTTGGCTGGCCTGCCTACGATCCATCCTGGGTTTAACCAGGCTGGATTGTGTGAGGAGCTCACAAATCCTTGAAAGATGTAGACAAAGTCCCATCGGTGAGCTCCTCCGGCAGGCAAGGCTGCGTTGGCTGGGTCATTTAGCCCGCATGCCCATCCACCGCATGCCTAAACAGCTTTTGTTCGGCCGGATAGAGGGGGCTAAATGGCGCGGCACAGGCTAGAGAAGCGATGGAGTGATGTGGTACAGGAGGATGTGGAGCTGAGTGGACTTGCCAATCACTGGTACCAGCGGTGTCAAGATCAGCCTCTGTGGAGGAGGCTCGTGAAGGACGCTACTAACCAGTTGGAGGCAGTCGCCCTCCAACAACAATGGAGGGCAGAGGAGCGATGCTCACAACAACGAACGGAGTGCTGGGTGGCTAAAGCACAGCAAGTTGGCACAGTAGGGGGCACAGGTGGTGCATCGGCCAGTCATCTCAGTCAGTCGACCCGTCGTACTTGGGTCTGCCCCGTGACCTCTTGCCAGCGGACGTTCGACACTTCACGTGGCCTCAACGTGCACATAGCCTGGCACAAGCGTCGTGGTGACGTCTCCGCCACTTAGTGCCAAATGGCGGTTGTTGTTGTGTGAAGAGTTTTATTTGGGCAGGAGGCACTCGGTAGTACCGTTGTACATAATTTGGAATATTTCATAATTCGGCAAGGCCAGAGCCCCATGTGTCGAATTAACAACGGTTTACTGTATATGTATGTGTTGACATTTTTCGCACCATACGTAGCCAACAGTGCTCATCAGAAGTGCGAATGGAAGAACCGCTACAACGCGGTTCTTCCATTAAGGAATAATAGTGTGTGAGTGTCTCTATGTTTGTGTCTGTGTGCGTGCCTACGCGTGTCTGTGCATCAACCCATGCACCTGGGTCTGTTCCGTGACCTCCTGCCAGTCGGCGTTCGACACGTCACGTTGCCTTAAAGTGCACCTAGCATGGCACAAGCGCCGTGGTGACATCACCACCACTTAGTGGTAAACGGTGGTTGTTGTTATCTGTGCGTATCTTAGCCAACGCCCCAGCGCATCTCGCAGAGCTTGGGTGTGGAGAACTACACCGACGTGTCGTGGACGAGCTCCATGCTGAGCCTTCCCTTCTCCCTGCTGCCTGCTGGGCCTGACCCCACAGCCACCTCCACCGTGTGGCCACATCTGCCAGGTGCCTTGCTTCATTGTTTACCCAGCAAATCCTTACGGTGTCGCAAGACCTTTTCAGGAGGATCCTGCTGTTTTTTCTCAGTAGGGGCAAACATCGCGATGTGTTTCTCAATCGAGTGGTTTGTGGGTAACTTTCACATTTGGAATGTGACGCCGGCACACAATGCCCTACTCTTGTTGGAATGATGTCCCAAGATCTTAGCAGACTGCCATACCCTGGTTCACCAGGAGAATGCAGTACAGCAAGTGGACTAATCGCCATGTGTTTACATCTTTACGAGGATACAGTGTTGCCCCCTTGCGTGCGTGGGTTTTCTCCGGGTGCTCCAGCTTGGGCCCACTTGTACAATAAACATTCATTTTAAAGTGGCTGAAAACATCTGAAAATTATAATAAAACCCAATGCAGCAGGGACCTCCTGAAAAAGCATCTGATAACCCAGTGTGGCTCCTCCAGATGATTGAGTATGTCTCTCGCCAAAGGAAGAATTGCTAATGCGCCGGGCAAGCAAAACCTGGCTTTGTACATTGCGGTGCAGGACACTGGCACCCTGTTTCATCCCTCCGTCACTTGTTGGTAGAAATGAAGTTTTGCAGAAACTTAATGCATGTGTGGCTTTTTTGTTTTGTTTGTTGCAATAGGACAGCAAGGGGAGAGTTGGAGTGAGGAGAGTAACAAGCGAGGCAGGGTAAGAGCTGTCTTCCATTCCGTCCCACAGGACCATTCCTATCTCGAAGTTGGCGGGACAGGGCTTTAAATGTATTTTATTATGATTATGGTTACGCTCTTTTCATGGAGGTTCCTGCGATGGTGTGATCCCATTTGGTTCATGTGCAGGCAATTATTCATAATTTGGATGTTTGGCCAATATCGCTTAAAATATATTTTTGGCTATGAGAGAAACCCCATGCAAAAAAAGGGGAGAACATACAGACACCACGCAGAAAGGCCACCCGAGTTGGGATTTAAATCAAGGCTCTGCTTGCTGTTCAGCACAATTGTCACCATTGTGCCAGCTTACCGTTCCAAATACAACCTCAATTAGTAATGTGTGTGCTTTATAAATTGAACATGTGCCAATTGTTGTGTTGCAGGTGGCAAGATGTTTGTTTCATTGCCAAAGCAGAGATCCTGAGCTTGTTCCCTTGCCTTCTCCACGGGCTTTTTCATCTGATGGAGCTGCTCAACCAATGTCTGCTGAAGGTCAGATTACCAGCATTCACCTAGCTGGAGTCAGGCTTGTGTTTTGCTTTCGTAAGGGCGTTGATACCTTGGAAAGGAACAGGAGGTGTTGATGTTTTACAAATATCGACTCTCTTATACTGATAAGCGGTGGTGGACATGTGCGGGGCTAGATCTCGGCACACCATACTGGCACTTCTTCCAACACCAAACACGTGGACCGACACTCTACACATGTTCCTATTGCCTTTTCCACACTTTCGACAGAGAGGAAGAGGCAGTGAACATAGGACAAATTGGTTTCATAACGGGAACTTCTACATTCAATCACTGCTCTGAACCCAAAACACAAAACCTTTGTCAGCTGCCATAGGATATTGAGTTTACATACATAGCTATGAAGTGTTGCTGATTATTTAAGGATAGTTATTGTAGTGGTGATTCATTGACTTGGATTTTTTTTACTTTTGCAGAAAACAAGAAAAAACTGCAGATTCAGCAGCACGTTTCTAAATTGCTGATGGCACAAGGGGAATGTGACAGTCAGCTGTGTGCTTTGGATGACTCCAAGGAGCTGCTTTTGAAGTCTGATGATTTTTCACAAAAGCTCTGTAAGTCAATAAACATGGACATTCATTCGAACTTTGAGCCATCACTGGTTCATGAAGAAGACTCGGAGTTCAACAGAACAGCAATGAAGAATTTATTCATAGATAGTCCCCTGCCTGAGTCACCTCTGGGAAACACCACACGTCACGATAGCATGTTAGTAGATGGTCTTGCCAACATTCAAGAGGATTTGGCTACTTCGGGAGACTTGATTCGTCCAATTAGCGATCCTCAGACCAGCAAGGCTGACTGTGGACTGTGTTCAAGGAAGGAGCCATCTATGTCACAGACAGTGGAAAATCAATCGGCGCCTGTCGATGCTTTGCACCAGCATGCTTCCGACATGCACTGCAAACAGATTTCCCATTCTCAGCGTGACCATGAAGTTGTCAGAAATCCTACTCGTGATGATGCTGTGAGTGAAGAAATTGCTAATTCTGTAGGGCAAGTGAAATTAGAATCTCAATCTGTCATGGGCTTAATCGATGCAGATTTTGTAATGGACATCAATGGACCTCTACCTAAATTAAACACGAGTACATTAAGCATAACAAATATAAACCCTAATGCAAGTGATCACATCGCATTGGGCAGTACATATTGCCAAACTGAGGCTTGCGATCCCTGCATTAAAATCCACAGACAGCAAGTCAGTAGATGACATTTGGAATAACGGTGATTCGAAATGGGACATATCTCCCACAGATCTCGTGCTTATGCATTTAAGTACCCCAAAGTCCCAGAAGACAGCATGCTGTTTGACAGACATTGGGACTAACGTGCATGTGAAGGAAAGTCAAGGAGAGAAAATGGACCAGGGCAATAATTACTGCCTTCCGAGTCAAACGAACAATGCGAAGTTCGAATCGGAAAATTACATTCGTGAAGAACCAGCTGTGGAGGCCGTGACGAGTCCTGCGAACCCACGGGCTGAACTGCAAATGTTCGCGCCAATTGAAGAAACGCCTAGGAGGCCATCAAGACTCGGCGTCACTCTGAGTGGAGCACCGGGGGCCCTGGGGACCCATGCTCGCAACAGCGGCCGCAGCGGGTATTGGCGCTGGTAGCGGCGGCGGCAGCAGTAGCAGCATGTTTCTCTATGTCATCCCTGGGCCGGCGCAAATCCAAGTTCATCTACTCGGTTCATTCAAACGTAAACCAGGCGCTGCCTCTGGCGCTCAACGAAATGGTAATGGGCGGAATGTGAAGCAAGCGTCTCATTTAAAGAAGCGCCGCCGCGTGGATTCACAGAGGATGTCCAGAGGACACCGTGCACAATCTGTCCACCTCCACAGGTACTGACACCGCCTCGTGCTACACACAGTGCATGCGGCTAAGTGCCAGTCATATTTCTGTGCAGATCGTTACGCTAAGCTATGGTTGTTGTGTGTATAGAATGGTATTGTTAATTGGTGAAAGAGAAACGTGGATATTGTTCACGTGTATATTGTTGTCCTTTGTGTTTAAAGGGAGCTGAGAGGCTACATACTGTATTGTGAGTGGGGGAGTGGAGGGGGGGGGAAGTATGGTTGGGTGGTAGCGAGGGAGGGGGAGAGTCTGACTTGGTGATTGGGGGGACTTGCATACATGCTGGGGGGTGGCAGAGAGGATATTTTAGGAATTGACTGTAGTACTGAATGCATCCTTAACATAGGGAATGAGCTCATCTTACTATTGGGGCCATATAGTCACACTTTAATTTTAACATATTTTGTATTTAATATTTACATTGTAATCTGTTTTCAGATTTTACAACGCTGAAGACTTACAATGCTCAGGAAGGCAGTTTTTGTTCAAGTCAGAGGTTACTGGAGAGTCTAGGAGTTCCTTGGCAATGAAACGTCAACAAATGCCCAAAGTTGAGACGACCCCTTACAATAAACAGAAAGCAAATGAGAGCGGTGATTTTTCTGACCATCTCAATCATGAAAAAAACAACAAACTTAGTGAACAAAGCGCTGCTCTCTTTGCAATCGGTCACCTGAAAGAATGCAGTGTGAGCCCTGTTGTCTGTGTGGACAAGGTATCCATGCCAGTATTGTGCAACGACACTCCATCCGTGCACAGTGGCACCTACAACTTCAGTACTCCAAACACAGAGCAGAAACTCTCCATTTATGCTGTGAAACAGAAGATGCTTAGCAGCCACAGGTTTCCTGCTGCTAAAGCACTCACGCGGGAGAGGAAATCTGATTCGGACAGTCAGCTGCCAGGACTGATTGCTCATCCTGGCCGTGGGCTTCCCACTACGGTGGCCACCGATAAAATACTTCCGTCTGTAACAACGGAATGTAAAAAAGAACCTGAAGGACGTTTTGCTGTTATCCCCTTGTACAAGGAGTGAGATGACTGGAGGAGTATGGTCTCAATGCTCGCCAAGTGAAGCCTAATGCAGAGCTATTTCAGCCTCCATATTCAGAACACATGTCGGACGATTCTCTCATTATTGCTGTGGACACATGTATGGATGCAGGGCATCCTTCTGCGCACCCTGTGAAATGTGATGAAGCAGCACCAGAAGAAGATGAAACCCCTGCAGGCCATGATGCTAGCCCGAAGGCAGTTTCTGCAGCTCAGTGTGAAAGACCAAATTCATTATGCGGAGTCACTGATGAAAGCCACGTAGCTGAACGATTGCATGGAGATAATTCTGTGAGTGAAGAAGTTCTTGGGCCGTTTCTGCCAGTGAACCATGTAATCACAGAGAGTGACGCACCATTACCTTCGCTGGATAGATTGTATAAAAGTTCAAAAAATATGATTGTTTCAAGCTTCCATTCTTAAAAACAGATCCTTGTAGTTATTTGTCACCACAGTGGATGATAAAGATCTGTCTAGATTCGAAACTTCTTTGTCGATTAATGTTGGAGAAAGGCATGACAGACACAGCATAAGTCGTGCTCCATTAGAGCATGTCTTAAGTATAAAAGATAATGTTCCAATTGACCAAAGAACTCGAGAAATTCAAAATGCCAACAACTATCAATCGCTTCCCATGACAATGTTCAATGAACTTCAGAAGACATCCAATGAAACTAATTCTGTGTTCGCTATCGCAACTGAAAATGCTAAATCCATTGTGGCCGATGCAGAAGATGAGCCGCAGCATCCAACAGGGCTCTTGCCTGCCAAGCGGCCCTGCCCAGATATCGATGTACACGATATTCATCAGTCCGTGTTCTGTTGGCAGGGCAACTCGAGCCCGTGGTGTTTCTGAAATGCACCATCATGCCCCCACCGTGGATCACCTGGCCCACAGACTTTGGCTTCTTCGAGTGGTTTATACAGCAGAGCAGCACCTCGCGGACTTACAGGCACAATTGGCACTTCGAGCATTTATTCTGGTTTCCATACGGCATCCAGAAAACTAATTCCTGTTTCGGATGACAAAATCGAAAAAGCTAAAAATATTTTCAAAGATATCGAGGAAATATCGTGGACGGAAGAGAGCAGCGTCGATGTTCAGACTGTTGAGGTAAAGAAACCTTCGTATTCTAGCGCACATTCATCCAACGTTCCAGCAAGATCTAATGATGATGCCTTGGCACCCTGTGTCCTGCAGGAGCAAAAGCCTAACACAGTTTCTAAACAGCTGGAGAAGGTAACATGTAACGACAGCAGAACTATAACCTTTAGCGCGTCCACATTTAAACAAAACGTTGAACTTACTGAAAGCCAATCGGCAGAGGTGGAAGCAATCACGAATATGATGGAGCTCACGGGTAGCCAGTTTGAGTTCACACAGGCATGTATGCCTGCGGTACCACCGCGTTTGTTTCCTCGGGAAGGGCTGACATTAGGAAGAACCGGTGATAGGCTGCATCCTCACGGCAGTGGTTCTGCTCAGGGTATTTTACAGGCAAGGACTGCAGATGACCATCAGACTGATACTACTACCCCTGATGAGCATCGATGTAGACAGGAGGCATGTGGCTTGGAAACCCCTCCTAAAGACTCAACAATACTTTCAAAACAAGTGTTAAAATTACTGTCAGGTTTCCAAGACCCCAGTGAATTCCAAAATGCTCACCAGTCAAGGTTCCTTGACATTTCCAAAGTTTCTGCATGGAAATCTGATTGCACACCACCCACTACTCACGATGGAGCCTCCATTGTCAGCATTAAAAGATATCATGAAGATTTTGATATCCAATTTATACAATCTGCCGAGCAGCCCAGTACACTACAATCATCATATTTGAAACTCGGAAAGCCTGTTCAAGCATGTATTAATCATCGTCCAGTGCCAGCTGAAAGTTTAAGCAAAGAATCTTCCGTATCAAATACACGTTCAAAGGCACAAGAGTGTAATGCTGTTAGTGCATTTTGTGAAGATATATTAATTGAGAATTACCCTGACAATGTGCTGAAAGGACAAGTAGACAACGTAATTCAAAGTACCAGAGGAGATCAAGGACGAAACCTGCCGAGCTCCACAATCTTCCAGGAGAATAGAGAAAAGAGAGATAGAGCACAGAGTAGTACTGCGAATTTTACCAACGAGGGAGGGTTCCAGACAGCTGCTGGTCAAACGATAGTTCTGTCTGAATCTGCAATTCAGAAGGGCAGAAGTATTTTTAAAGATGATATTAATTTAAATGATGTTACAGAAGCTAACGACAGACTCATTCAGACCTCATACAACATTGATTGTTCAGTTGAAAATAATGCAGCCCAGCAAAATGTAAAATCCCATGGAAGTACAAATGATAAAACGTTAGAGCCCTGCTTAGGTTTCTCAGTGGGCAGTGGCATAATTATAAATGGTGGCATGTTACCTCTTCAACACAGCGGAGGCTTCCATCCGCAATCAGATTTGAGTTTCAGGAGCAAATATCAATCGGGAAAAAATACAAATGTGAATGTCAAGTTAGATACAAAGACGAGCAACATTCGTCGTTCTCGAAACATTACGGCAATGAACAATTGTGTAGCAACAAAGCCGCCATGCTTGACACACGTGCAAGCTGACAGTGGCAACACACGCATTTTAGAAATGATACCAGATAAAGAAAGAAGCCAACTTTTAGAAAATACCAGCATCCAATGTATACACAAGATGGGTGAGACTACGGCAAGCGACAGCGTCGCTTCAGAAAACAAACGCGAAGCGAACATTGTCCACTTAGAGCACAGCGCACATCTCGCCAACCAGGGGTTTCAAACTGCCAGCGGGAAGAAGGTGACCATCAATGAATCATCTTTAAAAAGAGCAAAAGAGTTATTTGAAGAATTCACTGTTGCAGGAAATGAAGACCATTGTAGAGATAATGTAAACAAGCGTGATGATCCGCCTACACGTATTCTGCCCGAAAGTTCATTAGATGTCTTTCATGGAATTGGCACTGTAGGTGGAAGAGGTGTTACATTTGAAAATTTGCCACCCACTGAGGATGTGAAGATGGGCGTCGAAAGATTTTCGGCAGCAGCAGAAGCCAGAGTTGAAAGCGACGATGATGGAAAGCTGAACTGCACACAAAATAAAACTGTTATGCGACCACCACTTTTCTTGCACAAGTCTGCTGTTCATATAAAGGGCCAGAATGAGCCTGGACAACAAATGGACAGCTTGAATAACTATGTAGGTTGTAATAACATTTTGGAAAGTGACAATTCTGTTTTGAATACGGCTATGGTGGGATTTGCAAACTGCTTCAGTACAGCCAGCGGAAAGTCCATTGAGGTTTCAGAAGAGGCCTTGCACAATGCCCGAAAGAGATTACAGGAGGTTGACATCTCTGAACGGTCCGAGTTCATCAAAAATCCCATTCAGAGTGACATAAAGCAGATTGAAAATGCCGTTCAGCGAGTCCCAGCCAATCTTTCTGATTCTTTCTTAAGCAAAAGTGGCACCGATGCACATTGCAGAGTTCATTCTCCAGAAAACCTTTCCTCTCCCACCGTTAAAGCCACACAGTTAATTCCACCCGTACAATTTTACACGGGTAGAGGATCTAAAGTAAACATTTCGGAAGAAAGCCTCGAAATTGCCAAGAGGCAGCTGTCCAAAACAACGTGTGAATATCGTCTACCAAGGATTCTAAACGCGGACGTCGCACACGTGAAACGGAATACTGACCGTGGCTCGGAGCTGCCCCATGGCGGCAAGCCACAGAGGGCCGGGGGGCGGCTGCAGGGTGGGGCCAACGACGGCCTGGTGCGGGAGGCGCTCCGTTCACCTGGGGTGGCGGAGCGAGAGCGCCTCTCACCCAGGAGCCCAGACTCTCGCGTGAGACAGGAAACAGAAGAGAGTGTCATTGCCTGGCTCCAGGACGAGGACACGGATCCGGCGTCTCCACATCATTTGGCAGCCCCCCTAACACCGGAGTCTCCGTCACTGCGTGCATGGGCCGCCCCTAATGCACATCAAGTCGCAGCTAAAAGGCCAAGGCACAGTGAATCCTTCCCTACAGGTACAACGTTCTGTTGGTAAAGCACGTTGCTGAGGCTTTAGATAACACGTATGGATTAAAAGTGGATTTGTCGAGGTGGCCAGGTGGCTCAGCAGTCAAAAAGCCTCTACCGAAATCTAGGCAGCCATCCATAGTTAAACTGGGTTCTCATGTGTGGTGAGTTGGTGGTCTCAGCCCAGTCACCAATGGCTCTACAAAAAAAACCCATCGTGCCACAGAAGTTCACTTATCTTGGCAAACATTCTAGCTCTGAGGATTAAAACGTTAAATGTTGGTTTGACTGCCATATGGCAAACATGCAGGAAGGTGCAGTGCCCACAGTGTGGATGTGAGGTCATCTTAGAAGTAGTTTTGTGATATAATCTTCTGTGGTCGCTCGAGCATGGGGATGTGCGCTGCTCACTAAGACATTTAATCACATTGACACAACAACAATAGCACAGTAGAATAACATGAGAAAATGTAAAATCCGTAAGTAACTAATAACAATGCATTGGACATTGAATTATATAATATGTTTGCGCATTTAAATTTATATTATTATGCTTATTTCCCCAGGAAAGCCTGACTTAGTCTTAAGACTTTTTCAGGAAGGTCCTTCCAAGTTTTTGCAGTGAGGGGCGATGTTGCTGTGTGTGATCCCCAGTTGTGTAATTTGCAGTAAATTTTTCAGCATTGAGATGTTTGGCCAATACCGGTTCCATCGTGTGTTTTTTATGCTTGGAGTGGCCGATGTGCATATTTTTAATATTCATCCAAGATTTTCACTTAATGTTTGCATAATAATAATGATACATTTGCCGAGCAAAGGAGAGCCACCCTTGAAGCGGCAGCTGCTGTCCGAGTCTGACGTGGGGGCGAGCGCGGAGCCTCTGCTGGAGCCGAGCGTCAGCAGCCCAGACGGTGAGCTCCACAGTGCGCGTCGCTCATGCCCCTCGCTCTGCCAGACTCCGCAGCACGCTGCAGTGGCTTCTCAGCAGGATCAGTCAGGTGTCACCCTCACGCCTGTCGCGCTCCCAGGCTTCACAGCTTCACAGCAGAACCAGTCGGGTGTCACCCCCACCTCTGTGAGACTCCCACACTCGGCAGCGCCATGCAGTGGCTTCACAGCTTCACGGCTACCCAGTCGGGTGTCACGGAGAGCGGTAGTTCTCAGTGTGTCTGGCCCCCCGGGCTATCACTCACAACCCCCAATGTTTTTGCGGACTGCCACCGTGTACCGATAAGACTCTTCAAAAATTGAAACGGCTCTAGATCGTAGTGATGGCTCTGAGGACCGTATGCTGGGAACCATTGCCCTCAACTATGCAGTCCATTACCTTTACATTCAGAAGTTAACAACATTTTAATCAAAATGTAGTTGTATAAAAATGCATTTTGATGCTAGGAGTCATGCAGCTGCAAAATCCAACTATAAATTATATATGTATTGTCATATAGAAGTTGTTTTGCTTCATGATGATTGCTTGTGTTGCAGTCAAAACGTCGTGATAATTTTATTGTTTTATATTTGTATTATTTTATTGTTTCCCTTATACGTGACTTTTCCGAAAAAACAAGAATATGAATCCCTGCAGTCACGAAAGCTTTAAATCAAAATTTATGCGTGTATAAGTTACAGATAGTAGGTGTATGTGTACGTGTCAGTAATTGTTTGCTATGATTTGTTACTTGACACCTTGTAAGGTGACATTGTCCTTTTGCCATCCGTGGCTGTCCACACCGTGGATCACATCGCACCGATTCCCCGGTGCACACAGGCAGCCACTGTGCGTGCTGTGCCGAACGATTTACTCGTGAATGTTGAAACCCAACATTCACGAGTTGCGTTGCTTGCACTGATTAAAGTGGAACGGCCTTATCTTTCAGGCTTTTACGAGAAGAGAAGACGGCTTCCACATGGTACCGTGTTGCGGCCTTCCGTTTCAAGTCCTTATTGCGACCTCAGGTAGAGCAGTCTGCATTCTCAGCAAAATCATCTCCACTGTATTGTCTCCTGCACATTGTAAAGCCATGGGAAATCCTGTTTTCACACTGCCGAATGATAATTGCTGCATAATTATATAATATGAGGTATAAATCTCCTCTACAGTGTATATATCCAGAATTGGGCTTGTTTGTTTGAGCAATACTGACGATGTAGTTGAATGTCATCACAATGCAGCGCAGACATTGCTCTACATCTGAGACTCTTATCGATGCCTTTCTCACTTCTCATCTTGATTGCTGCTGCACCTTCCTCTGTGGCTTCCCCAAATCCAATCACCTACTCAGTGCCACCTCAAGAATTATCTGCTGACAGCAAACTGTTTACCATATAATTTGTTATCTTCTCACGCGGGTTTCTACAGCCAGTGTTATGATTGGTGCTTAATAGTTGCGTGACGTCAGGTAATGACCTGTTTTTTTCTGAGGTCATGCACCTGTTTAAGAAGCTGGTTGAGGTGACACAGTTATCCTAACTTCCTGGAATTTATTCTTCTTTCCTTGAAGATACTTGGTGTAATCTCAAGCAGAACATAATTTCGAATTGCTAAATTTGGTTGACGATTATTATTCTTTAAATTACTGGCGAGCTGAAACAATGATGGCGTATTAAATGGCTGTACGCGTGACGTTTTAATTTTAACAGCAGAGCGTCTGAACGACACGGATGTGCCCACATCATTACGCGGCCTGATCCAATGATTTGTGACGTTATCGTTTGATATGCCTCCAGGGAGCAGAAGCAGGCTGCTCCCGCGATCGACACGAGGCAGCAGCGGCAGCAGGGATTGGCCAAGGGCACTGCGAGCCCATCAGGCGCCCCGCACGCGCACAACCACAAGGCCGGGGCCTTCTTGCCGCCCTTCCGCGTCTCCCAGCCCAAGGCTTTGTCGGCAGCGCGGGGCGTGCGCGCTTTATCTGCGGGCGTGCACGCGCCGCCATCCGGAGGCTGGTTCCCCGATGCCGCTGGGCGGCTAACAACGTTGAGCGGCGAGCCCGGGGTCGTGGGCGGCGATGACAAGCACGCGGGGGGGCGCTGCTCGCCGCTGACGAGACGTGAGGGCGCTGCATCACCGCCGCCGCTCCCGGCCGTGGACGGTTTGTTTGCGACTCGTGGCTACGCGACCACCTTCATGAGCAACACAAATCCGTTGACAAAAATGTCTGCTTTTGCTTGGACGCCACGTGCCCGCGTGTCTATACGGCTGCATCGGACGGCACTTGCGATATTTCTGAATGCAAATAGGCAATTTTTATATATGGCTGCATCTGATTAAGTTTGTATTGATTTAATCTCGAGCAACTGCAGGAAAATGTACATTCTTCTACCAAAATCACACAAGTTATTTACTCGCAGAAAAGATGACAAACTAAGAAGCAGTCCCCGCGATGCGTGTCGTCCGCTGAGCAGCCTCGTGCTCCTTGGGGCCGGGACACAGCCCTGTGGTAGCGAATTCGCCGTTTGTTGCAGAGATGGTTGACTGGTTTGTTGTTGTGCCCCTGTGGAGCAGCAGTGGGGAGCGCCCAGTGGTTGGCTCGGTTGGAGAGCGCTCGCACGATGCAGGAGCTGCGTGTGAGCCAGAAGCGAGGGCAGGCGGAGCATGCGCTGCCCGGCGGCCTGCTGGCGGCACGGGGCGCGGCGCCTGCCAGGGTCTCCCTGCGCTCGGCCGTCGGCGGTGGCACGCCGGGGTCATACATTTACGAGCAGGTGGGGAATCTCGCAGGACGTGGCCGTGGGGACTCACCCCCCTCTCACACCCCCCCGCCACCCCCTCCCTGCCCACTTACCTGGGGGTGACCACAGGGCCCGCTGCCCACGCGGCCACGAGAGAGAGGATTCCACGACCGTTGTTGAAATAGCTGTCGCCAAGTGAATTACGCTGCAGTACCTTGCATAGCAGTGCCACGAGCACAACTTAATATACAACTAGCTTTACTTCCCTGCTTCGCCCGGGACTTGGATTCACCACGCCCGGCCGCCTTTGTCTCCCCAGTGGTGATGTTCACACACCACACCAGTTACTCGTTTGAGGCTGAATCGAACTAGGGGAGGCCCAGGAGCGGTTAAAATAATCGTCACCGGTGGTGGCCGTGAGCGGGAATCGAACTCGAGTTGCCAGGTTCGTAGCGCAGCGCGCTAACCACTACACTACCGCTTCCCCCACACAGACACGCGCGTGCGTCCACAACTTCAATGTGCGTACAGCAGTAAACGACTGAAATAATAAAGCAATGCTTCGCGAAGAACGCCTTAGACCCGCAACACATTTGTATGGCACTTTACCCGCGGAGGGTTGGGGGGGGGAGTGCATGACATCAGCAGGCACTCTCCGTTACGCTTCCGCATGCGGGTGACATCACAGATGTGACGTCACAGCTCACTTACCGTGCAAAATATATGCATTATTGCGCCCCCCCCCCCAAAAAAAAATATATCCAAAAGTTTATTTCTAGAATTTTTGCATGGTCCACAGTCTGGAAAGTACCCACATGGCAAATTTAAAGTTTGTTGCATGTCGGGAAGTACGCGAAAGATTTTGAACAGACACACATAATCACAAATGTCCCTTTTATATATATAGATGTAGCTTCACGTTATTTGGTGACAATAAAATTTAAATAACGTCTCAAATAATAGATATTTAGGGTCATGAAAAAACAAAGATTCTCAACATTGTATGCTTTTCTTGTTACGCTTGTTTACCCAGGAAATCCTCACTAGGTCTTAATACTTTTTTCAGGAGGGTTCTGGCAGGATTTTGCAGTCATGGTTATTTTTTTTCTTTGGATTGTGCCACCAGCACACAGTGGGCTTGTAGTATTTTACGGTTAAACACTGGCAGTATTAACCAGGATGACCTGTTGGATTCGACCCGTGAGCCTCTGCATCAAGCGGAAAACGCGCTACCACTGGGCCACGTCACCGTCCCAAAATTAGTGCGGAATTCACGTTTTTACAAGAGCAACCGCCTCCTACCCCACATGCACGCCACTTTTCGTAATGGTGAGAGCGCCGCTCGATGATGAGTCCAGCTGTGCCGCCGGCGCCCACTCGAGGTGCCGTGTGCATGCCGTGTGCCCTCCCAGCTGCTGCGCTACGGGGTCAGCGCTGGCGTGACGGACGTGCGAGCGGACACCGCTGAGGCGTTCCGCTTCCACTGCGAGCAGCATTTCAGCTGGCGGGCGGTGTGCGGGGGCTCCGGCTTCCGGCTGGCGGATGGCGGGTTGCTCGTCCCTGACCACGTGGGCACCGCCGGCAAGGAGGAGTTCTACAAGTACGACCCTGTTGGCAAACCGCGACCGCAGCGTGCGTCGGTGACATGCCCCGTAGCCTGCCCGACGTCTCGGAGACATAACAACACACGGGAGGAAAGTGGGAGGGAATGGGGAAGCACCGAGCCAGGGAAGGAGAGAAGAGAATTAACTCTCCCGCTCGCTCACCTACCCAACTCACCCAGTTACCTGTTACTCGACCACTCAGTCAGTCAAGCATCCGGTCACCGACTCACCCACTCGCCCATCCACTCACCCATTCACTCACCCATTCACTCAGCCACTAACTCATCTACTCACTCACCCACTCTCTCAATCATCACTTATTCACCCAGTCACCTACTCACTCACACAGTCACTAACTCACCCACTCATCCAACACCCACCCGCTCACTTACAGTGGACGTTAAAGATCCCCTGATGGTGTTTCGACAAGAGTATGTCATTGTGTGCCAGCGTTTCTGTTCACATTTTCCAAGTACAGTGGTACCTCGGTACACGTCGTTAATTCTTTCCAGAAGCTAGGAGGACTTATACCGGAAGTGACGTCTACCAAACGAATTTTTCCATAAGAAATAAAGGGAAAGGAAATAATCCGTTCCAGAGTATAAGAAATAATATTTTATTTGGCATATTATACATTAATGGTGTTGTATAATATAATGTAGACACTATTACTAAAATGCATACATACATTAAAATAAATGCATAAATAAATTCAAATAAATTTAAATGAAAACAAAATTTAACATCACTTTAGCTTGCTGAGAGGAGTTGATAGCCTACGAGGATGGTGGTGAGGAAGGGGAGGAGAAGATGTTATTATTTGGAACGAGAGTCCCCTTCCATTAAAACTTCAGGAAGCTGAAATTATGGAGTTTTTTTCTCTTTCTCTTTTCTGTCTTTTTTCTTGACTTGGACCTGATTGAGGCTCACCAGCTTTGAGTTTTACTAAAAACCTGTTCATTGAAGTTTGTTTTTGCCTTCTAAGAATGTTCCTGAAGTGTGACATTGTCTGGTCATTCTGCACAATACTGTTACTGTAAATTCACAGAGAGTTATAGCAAGGGTTGTGCACTGAACGAGATCTACTGTACAGGCAGACTGAGGAGCGGCGCTTTGTTTCAGTCGTGAATGGGGTATACGCGGGTACGTGGTGACTCATCCCGACCCATACAAGTTCTAGCAAGCACGTCGTATCCCAAGCAAGACGTATCCCAAGACATTTTTTTCTCGTCAAAACACGACGTATACCAAATTCGACGTATTCCAAAGCGGTCGTATACCGAGGTATGACTGTAATAAAATTGCCCACAAATTACGCAATTGGGATTACACACAGCAGCAGAAATCATTTCCCCTGGCTGGCAGACTAATGCCCGCTTGCAGGTCAAGTGCTAAATCACCTTGCGCCCACAGAGACAGCTGCCACTGGGGGACGCCCTTTCAAATGTGCGTGCGAAGCGCTGTGAGATGCCGCGGTCTGAGGGGCGCTTTGTCAAAAGCAACCGACCGCGACCGCTCCTGTCAGAAATTGGGCGAGCACACACTGCGGGCTGACGAATGCTCGTTGCTGTGGGGTGGCGCGTGCTGCACTAGGGCGCTGTTGGACACGCCGGGCGTGGATCCCGGGCTGGTGGACGCTGCGTGGGCCTACAACCATTACCGCTGGCTCGTGTGGAAGCTGGCCGCCATGGAGGTCGCCTTCCCTGCCCACTTTGCTGGCCGTTGCCTCACCCCGGAGGTTGTTTTGCTGCAGCTCAAGTTCAGGTCAGCTCGCAGCTTCCATCTCCCAGCTCCCAGCTTCTATCTCCCAGCTCCCAGCCTCCAGCTCCCAGCTCCCAACCCACACTGCGTCCTCGCTGGCCCCATGGGCATTGCACTCTCAAAGGCACTGGGTCACGGTCAACGACAAAACCGCCCAGGCGAGGATGACATTACTTGAGGCGTGCAATTCTACAGGTCCTCCCAATGTATTGGGTGGCAGGGTGGCGAAGTGCCAACACTTATGCCTCACAGCAAGAAGGGCCCGGGTTCGAATCAGACTCCTGTCTGGGTGGAGTTTGTACGTTTTTCAGAACTGCATGGGTTTCCTCCATGTTCTCTGGGTTCCTTGCATAGCTAAAAACAGCATACGGTAACTGGCACTGGCCAAACACCTGCCCTCATGCTGAAAAATTATCTGCAAATGACTCACTTGGGATTACACATAGCAACATCCGCCCTGAATTTGAAAACCTGGAAGGATGCTCCTAAAAAATAGTTTCTTGGGTAAGCAAGCAAAACAATAATTCCAATAAAGGCCCATGCTTATCACAATCAGGAAGGAATCTGAAGAGCTCTATCAAGCTTTTTCACAGATGCCTCGTAGGGATGGGTCACAACGTTACAATAAGAAAGAGTACAAAAACACAGTAAGAGTGCAAAGTATAGGAAATATAACTAAACTATTTTTTCATCTTGCCAGATAAAGCCCACTGAACTATGAGCTTTTTCAGAAGCGACCTGGCCATCACACATGACACAGCGGACTTCCTTTGATGTGGAGCTGCGCGCTGCGCCCCTAGGTACGACGTGGAGGTGGACGGCAGCAAGAGGTCGGCCATCAGGAAGATAGTGGAGCGCGACGACGTCGCTTCGCGCACGCTCGTGCTGCTTGTCTCGAAGCTCACGGGCGCAGACGCCGCCTCCGTGCCAGGGCCGCCGGGACCGCCGGGGCCGTCGGGGCCACCCGAGCCGGGTTTAGCGCTCGAGCTCTCGGACGGCTGGTACGCCCTGCCCGCGCTGCTGGACGCGCCGCTGGCCGCGCTGACTAGGCAGGGCCGCGTCCGCGTCGGCCACAAGCTGATCGTGCACGGGGCGGAGCTCGTCGGGGCGCAGGAGGCCTGCCCCCCTCTGGAGGCGCCCCCCTCGCTCGCGCTCAAGGTGGGAGAGAGTCGCCGCGAGAGAGTCGCCGCGAGAGAGTCGCCGCGAGAGAGTCGCCGCGAGAGAGTCGCCGCGAGAGAGTCGCCGCGAGAGAGTCGCCGCGAGAGAGTCGCCGCGAGAGAGTCGCCGCGAGAGAGTCGCCGCGAGAGAGTCGCCGCGAGCCTTAGCCCGATGGTGGCTTCCCCGGCTCGCTACAGGCCGCATCGTGCCGCCCTCGTCTCGTGCTTTCCCTGCCGTACACTTTCACTCTCAAGTCGCTCACCTCTCTTGATGGTCACAATGCACACAGGCAGGCGGTAATGCCTCCTTCCCACGTCCCTCCTTCCCCTTTTTGACATTTATTTTTTAATTCATGTGGGCAAATTTCAAATGACTACATTTACATCTGAGCCGTGAGAGAGTTAATATGAACTATAAAAGTTTATGTTTTCTTTCAACAATGACTTTGCCCAATTATTTTGACAGAAGACTTAAAGCTTGTTACAGAAGTGTGTGCTACATCGTAACAGCCTAACCGTTATTTTGTTTGTACTGTTTGTTAGCCCGGGAAAGCCTCACTGACAAGGAACATTCACAGTGTGTGATGCTCTCCGATTTCAATCAAAATCTGTCTGTCAACGGTTGTATGGAGGTAGAACAGCACTGGTGATATTCCACGTGGCACTCGTGGTACATGCGCTGGTGAAATGAATATAACAGACGCAGCTCCTGATGGGTGGCACGTATGATGAGTGGGGCTTCATCACATCCACGCATGCCCCCTCGACTTCCTGACCGCTTTGTATGAAGATGATGTCCATTGTGAATGATATTGAACAGGTGTGCGATGTAACTCGGCTCTGTGCTGGGTGCGTCCCAATCCGCATCGTTCACACATGGATCACATTCTTTGTTTTAGTTTTATTCTTATTGTATTTAAACATGAATCCGGTACAGAGCACGATCTGCGACGTGGGGAAGGGGGGCACAGACACTCCGTGGACAGAGGAAGTCCCCAAACTGGTTTTAGAGGGGAGACATTGGGCTCACTTTACAGACACATAATCCTTTCCACATCTGGAAAAAGAAAACGTCCAATGTTTGGATTATGTCCGATTGCCTCCAGTAGAATCTACATTTCATTTTGGTTGTCCTCACCCGCACCTCCGATTCGCACGGTTGACTACGTACGGGGCGGAAGAAGGTCAACATCCATGCATACATTGCAGCCAGTGTTTGCTAGTTTCACATCGTTAACTGCCAGTCGACCTTTATTTGTTCCCCAGGAGTTGACCTGGAGGAGTAAATTGTTTCCATCTGCTGGGATGGCCATATTTTGAAAACGTAGCTGATAATTCTCGAATCCTGATGGCGCTGATGCGGTCGTCCAGTCGGGAAATTTGGCCTCCAAAAATCTTGATCACGTTCAGAGTGTTGATTGCCATGGTAAAAAGGCGCCACGGTGGCAAGATGTGAACTCCCTCGCCGAGGATGCAGTAGGTCGTGGGTTCGATCCCGACCCTGTGACACCTGTTCTGTATATTTGGAGTTTGCGTGTTCTCTCTCTCCCCATGGTGACATGGATTTTTCTAGGGTCTTCCGTTTTTTCCTTCCACGTTTAGAATCAACATGCGTTTTGAGTATTTGGCTGCTATAAATTTCCACATATGCCACTTCATTAAGATCGCTTCTGAAAAAGAGCTAGAAAGCTCAGTGGGTCTTACCTGCTAAAAAAATAGTTTAATTTAAGTTTAAATAGAAGAACGAACAGCAGCTAAACAACACGTGGTATGTGAGGGGATGCAGATGTGGAAGGTTGAGAGGTAATTCCTGTCTTGCCCCTGTATATCGGATCAATTGCTTATGCGGTAAATGCTATATTGGACAGATGGGACGTAACATTAGCGTAAGACTAAAAGAACACCAAAGGAACATTAAATTATCTCAAACACAACTGTCGGCAGTGGCAGAACATGCTTGCCAAGGAGGACACTCAATTGAATTAGATAACGTTGAAGTGTTATATAAAACTAATTATTACTGGCCAAGACTAATTAGAGAATCATCGAAATTGAAAGAAATACAAATAATTTTAAATGCTCTGATAGCTACAGGCTTAGCGCAGCCTGGAAGCGTATTATTAAGTAATACACAATACATATTCCAATTCCTTATCGAGGAATCACATGCTAATTAACTGATTACTAATCTATACATATAAAAGGGAAATTTGTGAATGTGTGTCTGTTCAAAATGTTTAGCGTACTTCCCGACATGCAGCCAACTTGAAATTTACTTCCAGACTACACCATGCAAAATTTATAAAAATACACTTTGGTAAAAAAATTTGGGGGGGGGGGGGGGCGCAATAATGCATATTTTTTGCACGGTAAGTGAGCTGTGACGTCACATCTGTGCTACGAACCTGGCGACCCGAGTTCAATTCCCGCTCACGGCCACCACCGGTGACGATTATTTGAACCGGTCCTGGGCCTCCCCTAGGTCGACTCAGCCTCAAACGAGTAACTGGTGTGGTGTGTGAACATCGCCACTGGGGAGACAAAGGCGGTCGGTCGTGGTGAATCCAAGTCCCGGGCGCAGCCGGGTAGTAAAGCTAGTCTATTATATAATTACAATACCCCCCCGCCTCTGCCTCTGATCTCGAAACCTGATGGGGTTCAATGATGATGTCGTCCTGCACTATTTAAGACCGGAAGCAGGTGGATGACTTCACTATTCTGGCAAATTGCCCTAAGATGCTGGATGTAATTTCCAGCGAAACGTCGTACTCAATTTGTAAATGTTGTGAATTCACTCTTCAAACACACCGGTAACTAATTGGCGTTTTGTTAACGTGACACATTTCTTACTGATTGGCCGTGTCGGGTGGTTGGAAGGTTGCGACACATACTTATGCGATCTAGCCCAAAAACGTTTTATTATTAATAATACTGGTCGCGAAATCCTACGTGTTAAACTAAGGAATTTCCATTGTGGATCGTGACACCGGCACACACGACAACCTCCTGTTTGCGAACTACGCCTCGCGATATTTAATGGGCACCATAAATCAGATGGAGCGTAGCTTTTTAGTGTTAATGCACCCGGCAGCATTAACCGGAGGCGGCCCGCCGGAATAGATTGGAGAGCCTCTGCAACAAGCGGCGAATGCGCTACTGCCGGATGGTGGCACCACCGCCGCATGTGTGATGTTGTAAGCAGGAATGACGCTTTACACAGATAAAGTACAGTCTGTTCTCCTATAACATGGTAGTGGCATTCCTAAAGAACACTTCTTTCTGGGAAAATTGCGATATAATAAATAATATAGGGTAAAGTACAGTCTGCGATCGAAGTATCTACCAGCATCCCGTTTTGTGTGATGCTATTCCCAGGCAGCCATACGACTGCTTATTCCTACTCACACGACGTAGCTCTGTTTACTCGATCGCGTTATGTCCATTTCGCGTTATGAAAACACGTGGCGTTATAGAAGAACGGATTGTATTATAATTGTGCCCTCTCTGCTCAGATCTGCGCTAACAGCACGAGGCGGGCGAGGTGGGACGCCCGCCTCGGCTTCTATCGCAACCCGGGGCCCTTCCCCCTGGCTGTGTCCTCGCTGCTGGCGCACGGCGGAGCCGTAGGCTGCGTGGACGTGGTGGTGCTGCGCGTCTACCCCCTGCAGGTGATGCTCAACGCCAACCACCCCCGCCCGTAGGCTCGTAGCAGCCAGCGCTGGGCAGCCGAGCAGTAACCACTGCTACTGGGCGCCAGTCACTTGCTTATTGGCAGTCGGTCGCCTCCTCGTCACCGTGGTTACTGTTCCCTTGAATTTCGCTCAACAATTCCTCCACCCACGTTGAGGACTCTTTCCACCAAACACTGACTAGTTCGTCTCATCCACACTTCGTTCAACCACCACTGCAGGGCTAAACAACACACTCGCTCACCTATTTACTCACCCCCTCACTCAACCACCCACCTAGTTACTCACCCCTTCACTCGCCCAACCACTCACCCACTCACTCGCTCACCCACCCCATCGCTCACCCACTCAAAGACAATAGAACCTGGACGAAACTCGTGTAATGCAGGGGGAGAACGTGCAAACTCCACACAGAACGGAAACCGAATCAGGAATCCAACCCAGGGCCCTTGTTGCTGTGAGGTGTGAGCTTTCCCACTGTACTGCCGCCCAAGAGCGTCGACAGTTGTGATCAAAGAGCACAGAAACGTGGTGACGATATCGATGACAAAGTGTTGCCGGTGGTGCTTTTGCAGTGGATGGAGAAGCTGGCGAGTGGGGGCTACGTGTTCCGGAGCGAGCGCGCCGAGGAACGGGAGGCGCGTAGGAGAAGCGGCGAGCAGCAGCGAGCGCTGGAGAGCCTCTACGCTCGGCTGGAGAACGACCTGGACGAGCGGCACAAGGGTAGTGCTCTCACAGCCGCACTTGTCATTGCCGCCGCGGCTCCGGGTTGGCCTCTAACAGCGGCTTCACGTCGGGCTTGAGCCGCTCGTGGGTCGGGTCGTGGGTCTAATGGAAACAGGTCGGGTCGTGGTCTAATGGAAACAGGTCGGGTCATGGGTCTAATGGAAGCAGGTCGGGTCATGGGTCTAATGGAAACAGGTCGGGTCATGGGTCTAATGGAAGCAGGTCGGGTCATGGGTCTAATGGAAACAGGTCGGGTCATGGGTCTAATGGAAACAGGTCGGGTCATGGGTCTAATGGAAACAGGTCGGGTCATGGGTCTAATGGAAGCAGGTCGGGTCATGGGTCTAATGGAAGCAGGTCGGGTCGTGGTCTAATGGAAACAGGTCGGGTCGTGGTCTAATGGAAGCAGGTCGGGTCATGGTCTAATGGAAGCAGGTCGGGTCATGGGTCTAATGGAAACAGGTCGGGTCGTGGTCTAATGGAAGTGAGTTTTGAGACTACTTCCGGCTCTCTTGGGTCAATGTGCGAAACAACAATACCACTGATATGACTGTCATTGTTTGAGAAAAGGACGGGACAGAAATAAACCAAGGAAGAGCATGGCAGAGATCCAGGCACTGCAAGACGGAGCAGAACTCTACGAGGCTATAAGGGACTCAGTGGATCCTTGCTATGTGGAGGTAATGAACGTGTGAAAACCAATTGATATTAATATCGCAGAGCTACTGAATTTCGGGTGTCTGTGTTTTGTTTGAGCGTCTTGTTGGTCACGAAGAAGCAACAATGTTAGTCCACTCCCTGATTGCATTTCCCTGGAGCAGTAATTATGACGTGAACACGGTATGGCCCATAGGGATTGTCACCGTTCTTTGGAAAATATTCAATTTGTAAATTATGTCTGGTCTTGTGTTTTGTTGGGTGTGTGATAGCTGACGTAGTTTCACTCCAGATTTGTTTATCCCGAGCTCGTAATTCCACTGCCGTTCACTGCCAAGCCTTTTTCTTAGCACTGACTTCTGTGGCCTGCTCATGATGAATGCCACCACGTTTTTTGGTTGCGACTATTTACATTTGTCAATGACGAACACACCATGACCACATGAAAATGTGAATTCTAGTTGCCGTTAGCCAAGTGTTAAACGGGTCCCCATAGTATAACGGTCCAAATCCTGTCCATATATGGGGCTTTTAGAGGCATGTGGCGGCAGCGAACATTGATGGCTGTACCGTACTGATGAGTCAAAATGAGGGCTAAACTCATTCAGAGTTTTGTCTTTGAATTGGTGATCTAGGCGACAAAATGGCCACACAATTCAATTATTTTGAGCTGGTGCTCTGGATAAGGCAGAGAGCTATTTTTCGTGCACTGCTGCACACAGCTGTGTGTGTTGTTGAATTCATGTGGGCTGCAGTCGTGCCTGAGTCATGAGCAGGCAAGGACCCTGCACAGCCACCGGCAGGGCCTGGCTGACCAGAAGAGGACCGAGATGCAGGCCGAGCTGTGCAAGGCCCTCTCCTCCGCGGACGGCTCCAGCGGCGGCACTCAGAGGGACGTCTGTGCGCTGTGGAAGCTGCGGGTCGCCAGCTACGGAGACGATCGCGGAAGGTCGCACACGGCAGGTACCAACGCCCGCCTGGTGCGTCCACTTGGGCCCTCGTATACTCGGCTCGGTCTCGTGATGCAGAATAACGGTGAGCATCGTCTCAACTTAACGGTATCACAATGCCTGGCCCTCTATACAAACGTGCCTTTGGTCCTGTGGTGAAATTTTTCTCTCACGTGGTATGGCAGAGACGCTCTGGTGAATATTTACGTGTCGTTCTGACATTTGTTTTCACTTAATCCAGATACCAGTGAGGATTCCGAGCTAGTCTCGTCGTTGTCAATGCGTCTACTATACCAAGTGATATTTTTAATTGGACTTTGTTATTCCTCCCCGCCGAAAAAGTGACTTGGGCTCACCGTGTCCAGACCTCGTAGTTTACCAACGCAGCTGGGATCTGTGTGATTGCGCGGAGACAGGGATGAGCAGGTGCGCACGCCAGTGACACCATCTGTGTTATATCTAACAATAGAACAATCGTGTCGTCATAGCCACGTTGCGCGAGTGACTGGCGTGGTGGCCACATTACGTGGGTTGTATTCCTGGTAGCCGATTGGCTGGCACAGCGGGAGTTATGACATCGTCCCCAGCGGCCGTTACCGCGCACCGCTGCGGGCTTCTTCCGGAGCTCAATTGAACGCTGCCCGCAGTTGCGCATGGCGAGAGCTTGAGAGGGGAAACACCGAACCTGCAGCCCAACCCACAAAACCGCTATTTGTATCACGTCGACTTCATTTAGTTTACAGGCAAAACATGCATGAAGTGTGTAATTAATGGCCGGTTACGAGCCACCTTGCCAATTGGTTTTGTATTGGGACTGTGTATGTGACCGCACAGGGAACATACTGAGCATCTGGAGGCCAGTGCCGGAGCTGCACTGCTTGCTCAGGGAGGGGCTGCGCTTCCGCATTCACCACTTGGCTGCGTCGCAGGGCAGAGGGCATCTTGACGCCGGAGACGTGCAGCTTGCATCCTCCAAGAAGACCAAGTACCAGCAAATGCAGGTAGCTAGAGGTGACCTTTGAGGCTATTGAGGCGTGGGGGTGCCACGGTGGCGAGATGTTAACTACCTCGCCTGCTTTGCAGGAGGTCGTGGATTCGATCCCGACCCTGATGTCTCCTGTATATTTGGAGTTTGCGGCATCTCTCTCGAACCCGGTGGTCGTGTGCATTTTTCTCTGAATCCTCCGGTTTTTCCCTCTACATTTCGCAACATGCGTTTAAAGTATTTGCCTTGCTATAAATTTACACGTGATTAGCCACTTCTTTGGGCTATCATTTGTGGCCAGGTCGTATTTGAAAAAGAGCTATATTGCTTAGTGGGCCTTACCTGGTAAAATAAAAACAAGTTTTGGTACTGGCAAAGGAGGTCTAATGATGTAGATGCTCACCCCGAGCCCTCATTACTTTGATAGTGCATTGTCTTTGAGCTGTACGCCTTTTGGCGTCATCTGGTCGAGCACCAGTTGGGTCGAGGCTCAAAAGAAAGCCGTCCCTTGGTGTGGACCAATCAGTTTCAAGGACAATGCATATATTATCATAGTATGTTTTTTGTTTGCATTTTGACTGCAGGTATTGTGGTTAATGCAGACATGAATCCTTGTAAAAAGGTTTCAGTTTTGTTGCCAGAAAAAAGGGGAAAAACTTTATTATTAAAAAAAAGTTAGTATAGTTTTCCCAAACAGTGTGATTATCATCGCATCAAACAATTCAAGTGCTTAGATTTCTGTCCAGTGCAATCTATTTGGCTACTTTTGCATTGCTTTATGCTTGAGAAGCAGTCAGCATTGAACCGGGGCCGTAACACAGGGGTTTGCGGTTCGAATCCGGCGACGGCCCTGGTTTTTACTGCGGTTGTAACAGTAACCATAAAATACCTTGCCACTCTTGTCTGCTTCACTCGCAGTGGGCATTTACTATCCCGTGGTGTCATTCCAACAAGTAGGTTGTCGTCTTTTCTCCCGCAACTCCCATGAGCACGGTTGGCTACGTACGGTGCGACGTACCTCCAGGTCAAAATCGACTCGCACTTTACTCGATTGGGAAACGGCAATCGTGATCCCCCACTGAGAGGACCCTCCTCAATGAGAGTCTTTGTCCTAGGTGAGGCTTTTCTGAGTAAACGAGTGTAGTGATAAGATTTTGTTTCGTTGGGTGTTTTCTCTGAAGGAGGTTCCTTCGTCTTGCGACATGGGGCCATGACCACAGTTGTTTGGAACAGAGACAAAGGAAGAGAAAAAACTGTAAGGTGATTTGTAATTTAACGCGTTCCATCCTTCCATCGCCGTGGCCCAGGCTTCAGAGGCGCTGATCGGCACCATCTACCAGCCAAGGCAGGCTGTGGCCTTCTTCGATTTGTCATTGCCCGACTTCTGGCCCCCATACTCGGAGCTAGACGTTGTCGGCATCGTGATCTCCATACAAAGCTTGGCAGGTACGGGCGTATGCACCTCCATGCCCTGTGCGGAGTTTTAAAACACTTAAAAATATTTCTCCGAAAGTATTTATTGAACAAACGATTCAGGTATGCGCAGAGGGCATCTAAAAACGCATTTTAATCTGAAGTTGCAGTGCTAATGGCATGTAGAGCTTGTTTGTAAGTAAATCATTCTAATGCTTGATTTGGAGCTTTCTTGACTGCAGGAATTACTCTTTGGTTCTTTCGGTAAAGTCACGTAGAAATAAAATAAATTAAATAATAGCATACGACGTTTCGATTGCAACACAAGCAATCATCATCAGGTACAAATGAAAGATAAAACAAACCTAGTAACAGAAATATAATGTGATACAACACGGAGAGTCGGCTAACATAACAGTCAACACCCTACCTGGTTGATTACATTCTTCCAAAGATTGCTAAATTTGAGAGAGAGACAACAGACCGTTAAACCACTTCGTTGGGCTATCATTTGTGGCCAGGTCACTTTTGAAAAAGAGCTGCATAGCTCATTGGGCCTTAGCTGGTAAAATACAAATAGTTTAGTTTAGATTTTGAGTCCAGATGATTACTGTTACTAACAGGCAGCGTTTGGTGTTTGTTGATTCCACCGTTGCTCCTTACTGCCGGCTCCGGCAGGGGGAGGAACTCAGACTGTGGTCCTGGCCGACGAGGGCCGGCGGCTGGCGAACGTGCGCATCTGGGGCGGCCTGGCCGCGGCTGCGGCCGAGGAGCTGGTGCGCCCACGGGCTGTCCTCGCCATCACCAACCTGCAGTGGCGGCCGGCGGGAGCGCCGCGCGCCGGCACCGCCACCCCCGTGCTGTTTGCCGGGGAGCTCTCCAGCTTCTCCCTCAACCCCAAGGAGCAGCATCTGCGCCACAGACATTCAGCCCTGAGAGCCGCCGTTCCGGTAAAGCGGCGCGAGGGTGACGTACCGGTGTGAGGCGTACTCAACTTAACTATAAATGCCTTGAGATATATTTTTTTGGGTTAGATCGCGTAAACACAAAAGTGTCGTTAAACCCGCCACCACCCGACGCAACCAATTAGTAAGGTTTGTTACGTAAAGAAAAGATGCCATCCCCGGACGCAAGCACATCAGTTGTGTTCATGAGGGAGATTAGGGAGAGAGATTAGCATGAAATGAGCTTCCGGCGCCGCATAATAGTATCGTCACCGCATATGCGCACAACAGCAGTGTTAATGGGAGATTAGCACTATTTTGATGGGAGAGATTAGGCAGGGAGATAAGGGGGATTAGCAAGTTAATGTCACATCTATGTGTAACACAAGCTGCGGCGCTGCCAACTGCACTGAGGCAAGCGCGTCTACGCAAGAGAACCACCGCAACGGTGGTCGCGCCAGTGAGACACAAAGCCCATCACACAGCCAGAACCATCGATACATCGATGTTAAGGGAGCAGAGGTGGCCATGTTAGTGAGACCCCAGCCCGTTAATGCAGAGGCACCTTGCTTGCCCATCGCCACATAAATAACCTCTTGTTGTAACAGCTCTCTCGCTGGTTCAGCAGTTCCAATGCTGTATTATTTTTTCCGCCTGAGGACGACCGCTTGTGTTGCGATTGAAACGTCATGAAATATTTTTTTGTTTTATTTTATTTTTCTACCTACGTGACTTTACCAAAAAAAACTTTAGAGTATGGATTCCTGCAGTCACGAAAGCTTAAAATCAAGATTAAAACATGCCAATTAGTGACTAGTTCATCGGTGTGTTGGAGAGTAAACCTTCAAAATTTACAATTCTAGTACTGCGACGTTTTGCCAGTAATTACAACCAGTCTCATCAGGCGACATCCAGAGTTGTGGAGAAATTCTAAACTTTTTTTATTTTACCAGATCTTTATCAGAAGCGACCTAGTCACAAACGATAGCTCAACGAAGCGGCTTATCACGTGGACATTTATTGCAGCCAAATACTCTAAAAGCACGTGACTTCTAAATGTGGAGGGAAAAACCAGATGACTTGGAGAAAAAGCCACGTGACCCTGGAGAGAAAATGCAAATTCCAAATATACAACAGGAGTCAGAGTCGCCATCGAACCCACGACCTCCTGTATACCAGGCGAGGTAGATAACATCTTGCTCCGCTCGGCAGCGGGTGGTTGGCTCGCGAGTCTGACTCCTGCAGGGAAGGTCGGCTCGGCTATTCGTGCCTACTGGGTTGATAAAATTATACTGGTCTGTGGGGAATTCAAGTGGTTGTCGTATACGTAAACTCATTCCTACCATCGGCATGTGGAATTTCCACCACTGCCTCAAGGCTGCAAACAGATGAGCACCGCGGCAATGCTCATTTGAGCAGGAAATCGCTTGGACTTTGATTTGCCTATGAGCCAATGGGTGCAATGTAATGGTACCGAATATAGATTCCAACAGGTGATATGCGTCTTATTTTGCTGATGCAAAATAAGACTGATGCAAAATAAGACCCATAACCTCTCTGCTGAAGTTGCTGCAGTATCCGGAAATGCCCACACCGTATAACATAAGAGCGACCAATGTCACTTTATTCGCTGTGTCACGCTGTGTCCTCGCTGTGTCCTCGCTGTGTCCTCGCTGTGTGTCGTGCTGTGTCCACGCTGTGTCACACGCTGTGTCCACACTGTGTGTGACGCTGTGTCATGCTGTGTCCATTCTCACACTGCGTCCGCTCTGTGTCATGCTGTGTCATGCTGTGTCCACACTGCGTTACGCTGCATCCCACGGTGTCCACTCTGTCACCTGTGTCCACTTTGTGTCACGCCGTGTCCATGCAGGATGTGAAGAGCTTTGTTCAGGAGGTAGAGGAGAAGCTTCTGGGGCATGGAGCACAGCCAGAGGAGTGTCGCGTCGCGCTCGCGGAGAAGCCGAGCCCCGGCAGCGGTGGCCGTTTGCAGCGCAGCGGCAGCGGTTTGCAGCGCAGCGATAGCAGTGCCGCGGCCGCCAGAGCCAGCCCAGCCTCCATCAGCCTGGTAGGCCCTGCGCCCTCTACACGAGTAATAATGTAACAACGCGTTTACCCACGAGAGCCTCGCTGAGTCTCTAGAATTTTTCATGAGGGTTCTATAAAGTGTTTGTTGCAGCAGGGGAGTGATGCTGCTGCTTATGCTACAGTGTGTAATACCAAACTCGATTCGAAGATTTCGTGACTGAAGGAATTACTCTTTGGTTATTTCGGTAAAGTCACGTAGAAAATCAAATACAAATAGAATACGACGTTTCGATTGCAACACGAGCAACCATCATCAGGTAAGAATGAATGATAAAACACAGACACGAGCACAACATAGGCAGACACACATGCAGAGAGAGACACACACACAAAGACACACTGAGTAAGACACTCACCAAGACAAACAGAAGGACAACAATCTGTGCCAAGGTCTTAAATAGAGAGGGGGGAGGGGCCGGGCAGAGAGAGGACTGGGGAGGCGGACAAACGAGGGGACAAGGAGGGAGCAGTGTGGAATTCCGGACCACAGTGGCCGTAGGAGAGACAATGGTTTAGAGCAAGAAAATCGAAAGTTTGAGAAAGCAAATTTAGTAAAATTAAGAAGTGTAATGCAATGCAACACAGAGGGTCGGTCAACACAGAGGGTCGGTTAACACAGTTAACGCATAGTCTAGTTGATTAACGTTCTTTCAAAGATTTCTAAATTAGAAGTGTGGAACAGACAAGCAAGGAGGATCTATGATAATTGTTTTTTTACCCTTTTATCTGGCAACAAAACTGGCACCTTTTTTACAAGGAGTCATGTTTACATTGACCACAATACCTGCAGTCGGAATGTAAACAAAAAACAACAACTCTGATAATGGATGCACTGTCCTTGAAATTGATTGGTCCACACCCGAGACAGCTTTCTTTAGAGCCTCGTCTCACATGGTGTTGGACCAGAAGATGCCAGATAAAAGGCTAAAAAAAAACAATTATCATATTGTTGCTGGCAAATGAGGTTTCCGATGGTGAAGGAGGATCTAGTTTGAACCACCTCTACGTGGAGGGTTTACTCACAACTCACACTTTACTTCTAATTTAGCAATCTTTGGGAGAACGTTAATCAACCAGGCTATGCGTTAACTGTGTGTTAGCCGACTCTCTGCGTTGCATTACATTACATTCTCTAATTTTACTAAATTTGTTGTCAAACTTCCTATTTTCTTGCTCGAAACCATTTTCTTCTCCGGCCACTCTGGTCCGGAATTCCACACTGCTCTCTCCTTGTCCCCTCGTTTGTCCGCTGGTCCCCTCGTTTGTCCGCCTCACCAGTCCTCTCTCTGCCCCAGCCCCTCCCCCCCTCTCTCTATTTAAGGCCTTGGCACAGATTCGTTGTCCTTCCGTTTGTCTTGGTGTGTGTCTTGCTCGGCGTGTCTTGGTGTGTGTGTGTCTCTCTCTGAATGTGTGTCTGCCTATGTTGTTTCCGTGTCTGTTTTATCATTCACTCTTACCTGATTATGGTTGCTTGTGTTGCAATCGAAACGTCGTATTCTATTATTTTATTTTCTATGGACTTTACCGAAAGAACCAAAGAGTGTGTAATACCAATTTAGTAGTTTGCAGGTAATTTTTCAGCATTGGAATGTTTGGCCAATACCGGTTACATTGTGTGGTTTATATGTTTTATCTCTGGGAGGACATAGGAAAATGCAGAGGAAACCCACACAGAACAGGTGGAGAACATACAAACTGCACATAGATAGGAACCTGAGTCGGGAATCGAACTCAGGTCCTTATAGCTGTGAGGCACGAGTGTTACCATTGTGCCACATTGATGAGTCACGACTGTTTTATTGATCTTGCTCAGGAAAAAAGAAAGAGGAGCCTGAGCTACCTGAACGGAATCCCTTCACTTCCGCCCGTGTCTCCCCTCGTCGCGACCTCCACGCCAGTGGCCCGCAGAGCCTTCCGTGCGCCACGCTACGTACGTGGCGACTCTGAAAGCAGCATCGGGCCGTCACACGCCAACCCACACGCCAACCCACACGCCAGCCCACACGCCAGCCCACAGGCTAATCCACCCGCCATCTTGCATATAAAGCCGCACGCAGCCTCACCAAGGCCTCACACCCCACCTGTCAGCACGCCCACAAACCAGTCCTCTTCTGCGCATTTTGAAGATGAATTCCCCAAAGACTCTGTTGCGGATGAAGATCTCATGATGATCGATACTCAGGCTCTTTTGCATAAACAAACACAAGGCCACGCTTGCAACCCTTACAAGTCTGCAGTTCAGGAAAGCGACGCCTCTTTGGATGCGGCAGCCGGCAAAGTAGAAGCTGCGGCCATTTCGGGCACAAGTGGCGGGGAGCGCGTCCCAGCCCCGAGTGGCGCGACAGCCCCTGGGCCCGTGCCGCCCAATGTGGCCCACACGGCGTGAGCAGGCCCAGGGTGCCCCCCCCCCGCGCGTCTGTGTACGGCCTGTTGGGCCATGGACAAGGTGTGGGTCGGGGGGGTCACTGCGGACCCGAAGTGCGCCGGCTGTGGATGAAGGAGACTGATCCCAGGCAAAGCTAGGAATCTGCACGGTCAATGCAAGCACAGCTCACTGCTCACCCATTCTGCTGAATCGCAGCGTGCCATTCACTGTGTCATGAGAAAGGAGTCTGCTTGCAGGAAAATCTGAGACAATACAACCTGGCGTAACCTCAATCAAATCAACATTCAGTTTCATTGTTGTTAATAGACTTAGATTTAAGACATACTGTAATAAAAAAAAGGTTAATACCAGACGTTGGCATTTGGTATTTCATATACATATGCGTGTATTTTTGGCTGAAAGAAAAATGCAACTCGTGGGTTGTGACATCTGTGTGAAGCTTTGTTAATTAAAGAAAACATTGTCTTGTGAAATGTGGTCTTCAAACATGTGGCCTGAGTTACCGCTGCCCCCTGAGTGTACGGCATTACGAGTGTTACTTTGTCTACAAGGGCAGCAGGGTGGCGCAGTGGTAACGCTTGTGCCTCAAAGTAAGAAGAGCCCGAGTTTGATTCCTGACTCAGGTGTCTTTCCGTGTGGAGCTTGTATGTTCTCTCCCCCTGTTCTGCATGGGATTTCTGCCAGTTTCCTCCCAAGGCTACATACAAAATGACGTAAAAAATGTACCGGTATTGGCCAAAACATAATGCAACATTTTACCTTAAAAATAATTAATTGGCGTGACACACAAACTTCATCGCCAAGTGTGAACACTTGGCAGGAACCTCCTGAAAAAGTATTGAGACTTTCTGGCTTTCCTGAATAAACAAGCTTCATAATAGCAAGGGTAGCGGGTGGGGAGGACCTGAGTGGATGTATGTTGAACGTCTTTCCCAAAGTATGTAGCCAATCGTAGTCATCGGAGGTGCGAGGGCAGGACAACAAATTCAACACAAAAAGCAGTTCTAAAGAAATTAGTTTCTAATCTGGATTTAAGTGGATAGCTCCAGTGGTTTCCTATTGGAAGAGCGTTCCAGACGGCCGCAGAAGCACATCGAGTGAGGTTAAGGACACCGTTCTCTCTCTGACATGTACACAGCAGCAGCGACAGCGGAAACTTACAATGTGGGTTACACGCTGAGGCTTATCGCCGTGCCCAGGGGTAAACAGCAACTGACCACTCGCTCCATTTAGCTAGTATTATTGTTTCATGCTTTCAACTGTCAAAGGTCGGTTGGCTACGTACCGTGCAAAAGAAGTTCAACATACATGTTAGAGGCATTATATTACGAACATTAGTCCTCGTTACAGAAACTGTTAGTAGCTTGTCTGCGCTGTTTGAGGTTAAAAGTGCCAGTTATTACGCTTGTTTACTCAGCAAAGCCCGAGTCGAGACTTTTTAACTTTGGTCCTGCCAAGTTTTTGCAATAACATTTTGCGCTTATTCGACACCTTTCACAATGTCTCAAGGTGCCACAGGTAGTCGGGGACGATGTTTCCATGAGTAAACCCCAATTGAGTAATTTTCAGGTGATATTCAGCAATGGGATATTTGGTCAATACCAATGAAAATGCATGTGCTTTAAACGATTGGCTTGTGTTGTGAGGAATGTCCATGGGATGATTAGCCAATTGTGCTCACTGACACAAGTATAATGGATCACTGGCTGATGTGTCATTGACAAGGGTGTGGGATTTCCCATTGACCTGAGACTGGGGAGGTGGTGGGGCAAGATCTAGGTTTTCTGTCTCCCCATAACTTATGTGAACCCTCCTTGGTGACTTGATATGACTTGAGCCCGATGCTTTCTTGCCCCCCAGATTCAAAATCATTCCACCACCAGACTATAACCTACACTTCCACCACCACTAGATCCGTGGCAGCCACTTTCATACCACCATCACCATAACCACTACAACTTTCAGCATCACCATGTAAACTACATCCACTACTCCTACTTGCACATCCTGCATCATCACCACCACATCAAATACTACTACCAAATATATCACTGTTATCATCACCACCAGTAACCACTAATACAACAATTATCACCATTATCACCAATAACCGTAACAAAAGTACCAACAGCACGTGCACTGGCAGGTGACGGAGGCCAAGGCCCCTGGTTTAATCCCAGTTGCAAACCAAACTTTAATATTGTTCCATACAGTGTAACACCACCGTGCTCTCTGAAGCACTGTATAGCTATTATCTTCTTACTCTTTGGTTCTTTCGGTAAAGTCACGTAGAAATAAATTAAATTAAATAATAGAATACGACGTTTCGATTGCAACAAGCAACCATCATCAGGTAAGAATGAATGAGAAAACAAACATAGCAAACTTAGAAATATAATGCAATACAACACAGTCGGCTAACACAAGTCAATACCCTACCTGGTTGATTACGTTCTTTCAAAGATTGCAAAATTTGAGAGAGAGACAAAACACAGACACGGAGACACAAGCAGAGAGAGAGACACTTAGACAAACAGAAAGACAACGCCTCTGTGTCGAGGCTTTAAATAGAGAGGGGGGGGGCAGAGAGAGAGGGGGGGATGGGGTAGAGAACAATGAGAGAGTTGTGTGGAATTCCTGCCCATAGCGGCCGCTGGAGAGACAATGGACTTATAAACAAACCAGCACGGCAAAATTTAGAGAAATAGGAAGTTTGAGAAAACAAATTTAGTAAAATTAGGAAGTGTAATGCAATGCACCACAGAGAGTCGGTTAACACAGTTAACGCATAGCCTGGTTGATTACGTTCTTCCAAAGATTGCTCAATTAGATGTTAAGTGTGAAACAGATAAGCACGGCAAAATTTAGAGAGAAATAAGTTGAGAAAACATGTAGTCAAATTAGGAAGTAATACAATGCAACTTCTAATTTAGCAATCTTTGGAAGAACGTAATCAACCAGGCTATGCGTTAACGGTGTGTTAACCGACTGTGTTGCATTACATTACACTTCCTAATTTTTACTTAATTTATTTTCTCTAACTTCCTATTTCTCTCTCAAAATTTTGCCGTGCTTGTTTGAGTATAAGTCCATTGTCTCTCCTCCAGCCGCTATGGGCAGGAATTCCACACAACTCTCTCATTGTTCTCTACTCCTATCCCCCCCACCTCTCTCTCTGCCCCACCCCCCCCCCCCCCCTCTCTCTAAGGCTTCGACACAGAGGCGTTGTCTTTCTGTTTCTTTGTGTCTCTCTCTGCTTGTGTGTCTCTCTCTGCTTGTCTCTATGTGTCTCCGTGTCTGTGTTTTGTCTCTCAAATATAGCAATCTTTGGAAGAACGTAATCAACCAGGTAGGATGTTGACTTTTGTGTTAGCAGACTCTGTGTTGTATTGCGTTATATTTCTCAGTTTGCTATGTTTGTTTTCTCATTCATTCTTACTTGATGACGGTTGCTTGTGTTGCAGTTGAAAAGTCGTGTTATATTATTATTTAATTTATTTTCTTCATACGTGACTTTACCGAAAGAACCAACGAGTAATTCCTGCAGTCACGAAAGCTTCAAATCTATAATCTTCTTGTCAAGTACTCAACCAAACCTTTAACTGCAATAAAGTTGATGGAATATTACAGTTTTTCATGAAAACAAAGATATACAAGATAATATATCGGGTGGATCACCAACTTCGGAGAACAACAGGAATTGTGTTCTCTCTGCTTCAATTAATCCCTCCAAGTCACCTCCATGTCGTCCGTACGGAATCTGTGGAGCACAACAGAAAAAAGGAAGAGACCGGCAACAACGTTGATTACACAGGCAGCGCGGTGCGTTTCCCAGGAGAGATTTGTACAAACGAGCAACGAAAGAGTGAATCAGCTGAAATGTTCCAGCATATATGTACGTATGTTAAACTTTCACACCGTACATCGTCAACCGTGCTAATCGGAGGTGCGGAGTAGTGCGGTGTATGATTAACTACTTTTGCACCTTACATAGCCAACCATGCTCATCGGAGGTGCGGAGTGTTCCCACGTCGCACTTTCTGCTTCTTCCCTCACACTGCTCGGCTTTTGGGAATTATCTCCCATCGTCTCTTTAGCCCCAAATCTTCTTATTACAACCTTGCTCAGTTCAAGAAATGTGACGACACCTTTCATTAGTGCTATTTTATTGCTGGCCTCGACATTTTGGGCCTGGATTCAGCAACTGTGTTTAAACATGCTTATATTTTGTATCATAGTTAAAAGATCAGTAATTTAACAACTTTATTTTATTAAACTAATACCAGGATTCATAATTGGTAACATTTTTATGTCATTTATAAGTAATTATAGGTATTTTGATTAAAACTGTCAATTAACTATGTTACCAAGTAAGGCCCACTGAGCTATCACTTTTTCAGAAGCGACCTGCCCATAAATGATAGCTCAAACGCAGTAGAAATGATGATCTGAAGCTTTCGTGACTGCAGGAATCCATACTCTTTGGTTCTTTCGGTAAAGTCACGTAGGTATAAATAAAATAAATCACGCGTTTCGATCGCAACACAAGCGACCATCAGGACGCACCAATACAGCAGGACAACCGCTGACATAGGAGAAAGAGCTGCTGACAACAAGAGTTTATGAAGGGTTGTGGTGGGCCCAACCCAAGGGTAAGTGGGCGGAGCTAGAGAACGAAGAAAGGGAGGGAGGGTGAGGGGTATGGGCGCAGGTGATCGGTGGAAGGCAGAGAGACGCTGTGCCTGTGGAAGGCAGAGAGACGCTGTGCATGTGGGGCCAATGTGAGAAATTAGCATGTAAATTAGCATGTTAACAGGATGAGGATGGGGAAGGTCGCCCTGTTAATGTGAGAAATTACAAAATGGCAGGCAGGATGGAAGTATTACAGCGAAATCCGACCGACCTGGTTAATAACGTCCTTCCAATGGTTGCTCATCATGTACCCATCTTCCCGATTGAAATTATCTCTGTGTTTATATATCTGAATGGCTTCATGCACAAATCTTTGAAGGTAGCCCGGCGGTTTGCAGAGCACCTTGGTCTCGGAAAAAAACAATATCGTGCGAGCCCACAGCATTATAACAATGGTCAGCTACGGCAGAGGTATTGGTTCTGCCGTGTTTCAAATCTGCCTTGTGTTTGCGTACACGGTCTCGAGACATGTCATTTCGTTTCCCCAATGTAACTGCTGCCGCAGGTACAACTCAGTTTGTAGACTCCAGGGTATTGCATGTCAGGAATGACCTCCAAAGATGGGATTAGATCACGGATTTTGTGTACTATATTGAATCGGACCTGGATCTTGTCATACATAGCAGGTGTTACCAAAAAGATTTCCAAAATCTTAAACAAACACAAGATCCAGGTACGATTCAATACAGTACACAAAATCCATGATCTAATCCCATCTGTGAAGGAGGTCATTCCTGACATGCAATACCCTGGAGTCTACAAACTAAGTTGTACCTGCGGCAGCAGTTACATTGGGGAAATGAAAACGACGTCTTGGACCGTGTTCGTGAACATAAGACAGATTTTAAACACGGCAGAACAAATACCTCTGCCGTAGCTGACCATTGTTATAACGCTGTCGGCTCGCACGATATTGTTTTTTTCCGAGACCAAGGTGCTCTGCAAACTGCCGGGCTACCTTCAAAGATTTGTGCATGAAGCCATCCAGATATATAAACACAGAGATAATTTTAACCAGGAAGATGGGTACAAGCTGAGCCACCATTGGAAGGACGTTATTAACCAGATCGGTCGGATTTTGCTGTAATAATTCCATACTGCCTGCCGTTTTGTAATTTCTCACATTAACAGGGCGACATTCCCCAGCCTCATCCTGTTTACATGCTAATTTACATTTACATGCTAATTTCTCACATATGCCCCACAGACACAGCGTCTCTCTGCCTTCCACAGGCACAGCGTCTCTCTGCCTTCTACCGATCACCTGCACCCACACCCCTCTCACCCTCCCCCCCTTGCCTCCCCCCCCTTCTTCCTTTTCTAGCTCTGCCCACTTACCCTTGGGTTGGGCCCACCACAACCCTTTATAAACTCTTGTTGTCAGCAGCTTTCTCCTATGTCAGCGGTTGTCCGGCTGTATCAGTGCCACCTGATGAAGGTCGATTGTGTTGCGATCGAAATGTCGTAATTTGTTTGATTTTATTTCTAACTATGTGACTTTACCGAAAGAACCAAAGAACAGTGGAAATGTATAGCCGCCAAATACTCTAAACGCAGCTCAATGAATTACATTACCGTTGCGTTATCCATGAGTCTTTGATCTCTGTTGTGAGGCCTGATCGGAACATCTCCCAACCAGCCTGAGCTATCATCGCTCCATTGTCGATGCAGAACCTGAAACACAAATGTGTGCACACAAAAATCCCCCGGATAGCCTTTAATAGGCCGTTTGGGGCAAATGCAGTCGGCGTGCATCTACAAAGGCCAGCACCTACAAAGGCCGGCACCCACACGGGGTGGCTGGCCAGCACCACGCCAGGCCACCTTTGTTTTCCCAATGCTGATGTTTACACACCACACGCGGTACTCATTTGAGGATGAGTCGACCGAGGGCTGGTTCAGATCCATCACCCGTGTTGTCTGTGTGGGAATTCAATTTAGGTCGCCAGGTTCATACCACAGTACGCTTAAACTGCACCACCACTCCCCTCGTGCACAAAGACAAAGATCCCCTGTATAACCTTAAGACTGTTGGGGCAAGTGCTGTTAGCGAGTAGCACCTGTAAAGGCCGGTACGGTACACGAGTGGGTGGGTGGCCAGCATCACGCGCAACCACCTTTGTCTCCTCTGTGGCAATGTTTACACACTGCACCAGGTGCTGAGTGAACCTAGGGGAGCCCAGGACCGGTTCAGATAATCGTCACTGGTGTTGGCCGTGAGCGGGTATCGAACTTGGGTCGCCGGGTTCGTAGCACAATGCACTAACCGCTTACACTACCTCTCCCCACACAATCTTACAAAGCAGGGTCTTTGTAAAAATGGTTTTACCTCTTGTTCTCATTACGAAGCACTGCATTATAAATTATGTACTGCAGCACACACTGCAATTGTAATACAACTGTATTGGCAGTGGTGTGCAACCAATTCCTAAATATATCTGCATTTACATCGTGAGGACCGTGGAAGAAATTTACGTGCTAATTCAAAGATCTCAGCCACTGTCTCTCTCTCTTGTCTACAAAGGTGACATGATAAACTCTCAGTTGATAGTGATGAATAATCCCAAATCAAAAACGTGCAAAATATATATTTAAATTAAGTAAAACATCAGATACTTAAACCCCATTAATGTGAAGTTAAAACTGATCATTAACTATACTCTTTGGTTCTTACGGTTCTTTCGGTAGAAAAAATAATAGATCACGACGCTTCGATCGCAACGCAAGCAATCGAAACGTCGTGATCTATTATTTTTCTACCTACGTGACTTTACGGAAAGAACCAAAGAGTATGGATTCCTGCAGTCACGAAAGCTTCAAATCAAGATTGCTCATTAACTGTTGGTAAAATGTATCAGTTGTCCGAGAGCCCCTTCGCGTACAGTGCGATCTGCAACTGCATGGGAGCACGCCTTGCTGCCCATCTCCTGAGCTCTGATGAAGGGCCACTGCCTGAAACGTTAACATTTTTTTGTTTTCTGTGACAAAGCAGCAGCTCCCTTTAGCCTTGATTCACACAGAAACGTTTAATTTAACCTCTCTCACCTGTCAGTTTAACACGTAGGCTTTCGCGACCAATATCCATAAGAGGTTTTTTGGGTTACAGCGCGTAAATATATCATTAAAACCCGCCACCACCTGACACAGCCAACTAGTGAGGGTTGTCACGTAAACAGAACATGCCAATTCGGCACTAGTACAGCACACCGGTGTGTTGAAGAGCCAAGCCACAACATTTACAAACTGAGTATGACGTTTTGCCAGTAATTACAACTTGCTTCATCAGGAGACAGCCAGATTTGTAGAGAAGTCCACCTGTTTCGTTCCTTATATAGAGGCGTAGATGTGTTGACCACCCTTCTGCGCTCTTGCACAATGTGGGGGGGGGGGATTACTGAGGCAACGTACATTATCCTTCCTATTGTGTTTATTAAAATAGCCCTACCAACGGTAATCCCTATTGAAGTATGCTGCCCTTTGTCGGCATTCATTTAAAAAATATTTTTTGATTCGTTTCCACGCAGCACTAAGACGCTAACTATCCGAACGGTTAAAGTTATTTTTATTTCTTTCAATTTCGATAGATGCTTTAATTAGTCTTGGCCAGTAGTAGCTAGTTTTGTACAAAACTTCAACATAAAAATCAATTGAGTGTTCTTGTTGGCATGCGTGTTCTGCTACTGCTGACAGTTGCATTTGGGAGAATTGAATATTTCTCTGATGTTCTTTTAGTCTCGTGCTGATCATTCGTCCTGCTTGCCCAACATAACATTCACCACACGTGCAGTTAATCCTGTTCACACAGCACGGGAGGGGTGCTCACCCAGCCGCACCTGAACGCGGATCTCGAGTCCACAATTAACGCAATGAAGATGGCGGCGGCGGCGTGTGTAGCAGCGTGTGAGTTGTTTTTGTGAGTTGTTTTGCGTGAGTGTAAACTGCGTGAGAATGTGTGAAAATGTGAGTGAGAATGAGCTGTGTGTGAGCTGCGTGTGAGTGTGTGTGAGTGAGCCGTGCGAGAGTGGCCGTGACGAGAGGGACTTCTGCGTTCGTGTGTGTGTGTGATGGTGTGGTGATGTGCACTCTGTGTGTGATGGTGTGGTGATGTGCACTCTGTGTGTGATGGTGTGGTGATGTGCACTGTGTGTGTGTGTGTGATGGTGTGGTGGTGTGCAACTCTGTATGTATGTGATAGTGTGGTGATGTGCACTCGTGTGTGTGTGTGTGAGATGGTGTGGTGATGTGCGCTCGTGTGTGTACCTGGCACAGCCTGAGTGAGACCTGGTTGGTCGCGCACGTGGTGCAGCCTGAGTGAGGCCTGGTTGGTCGCGCTGTGTAAATGCCAAGGCAACATTGCTACGGACCCCAAGCTGTGTTCCTGCCAAGGCAACATTGCCACAGACTCCAAGCTATGTTCCTGCCAAGGCAACATTGCCACGGACCCCAAGCTGTGTTCCTGCCAAGGCAACATTGCGACGGACCCCAAGCTATATTCCTGGAAAACTTCACGGAGATCGTCACGACAGCCAAGGGTCGTGAATGAAGAGTCCCCTGTGTGGGCTTCGGTGGGGCCGTCTGGTCAGGCAGCAGAGACACGAGAGGCCAAGAAACGACATTCCAGTCGTGGGCTGAGCTCAAGGAGGGCTAGCTCGAGCACCATCCTGCGGTGGGGAAAGGAGGTGGTGTAAGTGGTTCAGCCAAGCCCACAACAGCCAAAAATCTGCTGTCCCTGTCTGGGGGGGGACGCTGTTCAACCCTAGCACAAGGGCGAGAAGCCGTGCATGTGTAACGAGTGCGGCAAGACGTTTTCTCGCGCTCGGCCAACAAGTATATCTTTTTCTTTTCCGCTTGTGTGTTCATCTGTTTACCCTGGATATTTTAGAGATGGCAATTCTCCTGCTGTGTATCCTACTGCTGTCCCTCCCAGCCATATCAAGTGCCACACTCAACTCTACAAACAGCTACCCTCGTTAGTTTGCGTCCATACTTGTTGCTCGATTTGCCACTACACCTGCAAATGTAACAGCTCATAGACACTTCTACACTCCATAATTGTATCCTTTTAAACCCTATCTTTATCCCATTACTTCACCAGCACTCCTTCCAAACTTCATTCTGCTCTTAAAAATAACACCATCTGCGAGCTACTGCTATTCGTCCAAGGTTCGCCGCTCTTCATCCCTTCACAGAAAATACTTGTGCAAACTATTAATTCTACTTTTCTTATTTCTGGGTGGTATTGAGCTTCATCCTGGCCCAAATGAAAAGAACTCGTATAATTCTGTAGATTTTTCTGGCGGAAAGGTGTTGGTGTTCTACATGTCAATATCAGAAGGCTTGTGATTAAATTAAGTAAACTAAAACTAGAAGTGGCAATCTTGAACCGGACATTTTTTGCCAAACAGAAACATTTCTCACTCCTGCCGTCAATGACTTGCAGATTGCTATTGACAACTACAACCTTTTTCGGCTTGACCGAGGATCTAAAGGAGGTGAAATTGCCATCTATGTTCGTAATACTATTGCATGTTCACTAGCTCACTATTTGTTTGAAAAATGTTGCTTTGAAGGTCTGGCTCTCAGAATAACTCTCCCAAATAACAGATATTGGTAGTATGCTGCTATCGACTGCCTAGTGGGAAGGATGTTGAAGCTGCATCTGCACTGAGAGAGCTTTTTGGGGGCTCTCTAAATGTGAAATAGTTTTAGTGAGTGATCTAAATTGGAATTGTCTAAACCCGCCGGCCGTGGCCACAAATTTTGCAGATGAATTTAATCTGTTTCAATTAATAAATGTCCCCACAAGACCCAACCTAAAAAATCCGGGACAGCCATCTCTGCTTGGCGTCCTATTGACAAATGCCCCTCACAATTTCACACTGCCTGGTGTTCTGGGTAATAACCTTAGTGATCACCCCTTCATTTTTGGGGTGAGATCATCAGCCAAACCCAAAGCCCCCCCTAAATTGGTTGAGAAGCACTCTATGAGACACTTCAGCACTCAGGAATTTACTAATGATGTGCTTCACTCAGATATTGACAAGGTCTGTGATATCCCCAACCTGACTATGGCTTGGGAGACCTTCAGGTACACGTTTCCCCAAATTCTTAACAAACATGCTCCGTTGGTTAGATTTAAAACTAAAGGCAACCTCCCACCATGGTTTGATCCTTTGATTACAAAGCTCATGAAAACTAGGGACAAGGCTTGGGCATGTGCTCAGAAAAGTAATTTGGTCAATGACTGGCTAGAATACAGGATTTTAAGGAATAGATGCTTCAAAAAAATACGGCATGCAAAAAATGACTACTTTTCCTCCACTCTCCTGGAATCACATGGAAATGCCAGGATTTTTTGGAAAACAATCAAATGTATCGAAAAGGCATCCAAAACAGACAATCTGCCCGTTGAGCTTAACCGAAATGGGGAATATTTTTCAGATCCTAAAAAAATAGTTGACAATTTTAACCTTCATTTTTCTGAAGTTGGTAATATTTTTGATAATATATTGGGAGTCACCCCTGCTCATGCAAATTCCTACACCCCTGTCCAAACATTAAACAAATTTAGTTTCCAGCCAATCCACGAAAGTAATGTTCTGAAACAACTGTCCTACCTCAAAGGGTCCTCCTCTACCGAAACTGTTGGTCACCTAAAATACAAACCTATAGCC